TTTATTACGTCTCTCCCTCCTAGACTGTAAGCTCTGTAGAAGTGGGATTTTGCCTTGTGCGTCCCCGTCACCCCTGCCTAGCACATACCAAGTGTTGATTAAACACTTTATATTCAATTTTCAAAACCAACTTGGAAAATTCATCATTTCTCATTGTCCCAATGAGTTAAATGAGGCTTAGGTTATGACAGTTACCCAACAAGGGGCAGGACTGGAATTCCGGCTGGCGCTGTCCAGCATCCCTCTGCCACACCAGGGTCATGGAAGGGGGGCCGTGCAGTAGTTGGTCTTGCATTGATGTGGAAGGGTACACATTCTGAGTGCAGCTTTGATCAAGGTTATACATTTCTGAAGCATTTGGGCCATTCCTTACAATTCCTCATCTTCTCAAGGCTTCATCAATGGCCCCTGTGCACACAGAAGTCGTAGCAAGCGTCAACTCACTGGCTCGAAGGCCAAGCCCCACATGGCCTGGTGCTACACACATCAGCAGGGAGTCAAACTGGTTAAACCAAGGAACAACTCCACTTTATCATTGCAAAGCTGCTTCCTGTTTTGTCCCCTTCACTTCTCATTCTTTGTCAACACCCTCTCAAAGAAGCCCAGCAAAAACACCACCTGCATCTCAACATGACTCTCAAGTATTTTCCTGGCCCATCCTGCCTGCTGGAAGACATCGCCAGCCTGTGGAGTTTCAAGGAACCCATCTCTTCCAAAGAGCACCAGGGCATTTGGTCAGTCTGACCCCATCCACAATATACTTTGGAAAACACTGGGCATGGCCTGACCCAACAGCCAGTTCTATCTTGTTCAGGAATGTTAGGAGGACTCAGAAGCTACCCTACTTTTGAAGTCATATGAAGTAGGACCACCACGTAGTTTTCCTTAATAGTCAAGTCAACCAGCAACCCTCTGCCATTGAGGAAGTTAGAGATAGGGGAAAAAAATCAATGAGAAAGTAAAAGGTTTATGACTGAATTTACATGGCCAGTATTCTCTGGGGAGATGGGACGTTATTTTTCTACTTGGCAAGGAAAGAGGGCTTAGTCCAGGCCGGAGTCACTTGAAGGGTGGCATTCCCACTGCTTTTGGGAGACATCTGTTTGTGGGTGATAATGTATATAGTTTGTTGGAGGTCATGCGTGTGATTTTAGCCACCCATGTCTGAACTTCATATTTACTGTCTGAACACCTAAAGGATTTAGGAGTTCTTCGAGCGCTAAGAGTGTGTCAGTCAACTTTGCAATTGACACTGCGTGTGGCACATAGAAGCCGCAGTTACTACGACTACTGCCACCACTCCTACTAGTTAACCTTTACTGAGCACTAACTACACAGTAGCCACCATGTTAAGACCTTCATGTCCATTATCCCATTATTTCCTCATTCAACCCTAAAAAGTTACCCCATTTTACAGATGAGAAAACCAAGGTCTAGAGGTTAGTAACTACCTAAGGTCGTATAGGAAGGAAGTGTCGGAGATGGTGCTCAATCTACAACTAATGACTGAGCGATCAGGGGTCAGCCTGGCGCCTTCACTGCCCCTCTGAACATAGCAGGCATTTCTTGCCTTTGGGTGTTACCGATAATATGTTCCAGACCCAAGCACCCCCTAATGGCAAGTGTATACAGGGGCACACAGCTCTTGGTGGGGAGACACATTAAACCCAGCTCTTAGATTACAAAAAGTTTACCTCTTAGATCACGAAGCAAACAGTTCATAGAACCAGAATGACATAAAAATAGGAGTATTTGTACACACACATACACACTCTACAGAATTTGAAATACTTTCCTCAAAAACTAGAAAATTAGAATGACTTCTAAGGAAACAAACATTTGAGTAATAATCCAACAATTTTCTAAGTTATTCCTCCAGAAAGCTTATCTATTGAGATAACAGGTAGCTGAGTGTCCTTCGGATTTCCAAAGGTTAAAGAGAAAAAAACTTTTTCAATAAATGTAAAAAATGTGATTTTACTATAGGATGTTAGGTATTTTAAAATTTGTTTTAAATGGATCCCACCCTCATTTTATTTTCATCCGAAACAAGAATAAGGACAAGCATCAGATGGCAAGGTGGACAGCTACACCTCGATGCAGCCACACAAAGTAAAAGGGATGCTATAACAAGAGGTTGTATAGAGAAAAACACTTGGGTTCTTTAAAAACTAAACTTGAGAGATAGCAGTATGGGAAACCTCACATTTAAAATCTGAGAGAGGGCGCCTGGGTGGCTCAGTGGGTTAAGCCTCTGCCTTCGGCTCGGGTCATGATCCCAGGGTCCTGGGATTGAGCCCCACGTCAGGCTCTCTGCTCAGCGGGGAGCCTGCTTCCTCCTCTCTCTGCCTGCATCTCTGCCTGCTTGTGATCTCTCTCTCTGTGTCAAATAAATAAATAAAGTCTTAAAATAAATAAATAAAATCTGAGAGAAACCCAATTTTGGAAAAAGCGAGTACAGGAATTGGCCCTTCCCTGGATAATTGATAAGGCCCCTGCAAGGACAGCCATGGTACTGCAGGGCCCTCCCCTTGAGCATAGCTCACTAGCCCAAGGTCAGACACCTGTGCCAAACATGGCCTGCAGTTGAGTAACATGCAGATGTGGCTGCAGACCATCAGGTCATCTCTGTAGCTAGACAGAGAAGACTCAGGAGATGTTGGCAGCCAAGTTTACAGTGAATGCTATGAACTGAATCTTTTCCCCCAAATTTCTTAGGTTGAACTCCCAATCCCCAGGGCAACTGTAACCTGGAAGGGGCCTCTAAAGGAGGTACCTAAGGTTAAATGAGGTCCTCAGGTGGGGCCCTAATGTGATAGGAGTGGTGTCCTTACAAGAGGAAGAAGTGGAGGATGCAGAGAGGGACGAAGAGTGAGGACACCGTGAGAAGGCCACCAGCTGCAAGCTAGGGAGAGAGGCCTCACCAGAACCTGACCACGCTAGCGCCTTGACCCCGGGCTTCCAACCTCCACAACTGTGAGAAATGCTGTTTAAACTGCCCAGTCTGTGGTACTCTGTGAAGGCAGCCTGAGCAGACTTGGGACAGTTGAGGAAGAGGAGGAGCAGAAAGCACAGTGTGAATCTGGACTGCATTTCGTTACTTCCAAAGCCCAATAATACTCCCGTGTTGGCTTCAAACATTAGGATCCTTAGTCTCCCGTGGGTTTAAGCAAATTCAAATTGGGTATCTTTCATTTGTGACAACATAGCACACTGGGCTTCTGGATAGCTGGAAGGTCATCCATAAATGTAAAAAACCTTAAAACCATTTCAGAAGGAAGCACAAAATGTTTCACCTCTGCCTTTTATGAGGTTTTTGTATTTTTTTTAAATGTCAGGTTTTCCATGATGAGTACTATCAAGATATTATATACTACAGTGGGAGATTATTAGGACATCTGAGGTTTACCTCTCTTTGTTACTGGCCTCACCACTCTGGACCCATTTCCTTCCTATAAAAGTTCTGCTCACAAAAATTCTGGTATCACCAATGACTGACCTCATCGCATTAAGTGAGGTAAAATGGCCATAGTTTCCAGAACGATTTACCATCTGTAGACTATTTCTTCCAGTACTAACATCCCACACACTCCTTGACTACCACCACCCCACAGGGCCCAGCTCTGCACCACGTTCTCTTATCTTTTCTGTGTCTGTGTCTTGCTCATGTGGTTGTTAGCTTTCTGGTCTTGCTCCTTCTCCACTCTTCCAGGTGTGTGCTACCACTGTCCTTCCTTCTTCCTTATTCTTGGCTGAGGTTTATATGGGCATGTTGGTGATGACTCTACGGAGAGCATTCGAGGTATGGGCGACTCCCACAGCGAACCCCAGGGACTCATCTGAGGAGGGAACTTTAGGCTGCCCAGAGGCCTTTTTGGCTCATTAGTTCCCAAAAGGAATCAAGGGCTCAAAGCCTCATATCAGATCTGTTAACATCTGTTTACCGTTAATGGACCGTAAGAGGAAAAAGAGGCCCCGAAGACTGACAAAGTTATGAGAACCACAATGTTTCCCAAAAGTCAGGAGGCTCTCCCCCCTTTTTAATAGACGCAAGCTTATTGATGGTTAACACATAACCTATCTTACATAGCACTGATCTTTTGGTCACCAGTAATCTATCTTTGTTCCAGTAAGCTGAGTCAAGTACCAATGTTGCACTCCACCTTATTTGGTCCACTCTCTTTACGGTTCCCAAAACATGGGACACCTGCTAGTGACCTTATTCTTTCCAGATGAAAGACTGAAGGTGAATTATCACAGCTGATTTTCAGATATTCTTTGCCTTGTGTATGATATACATTTGAATTATCTCTGGCTTCCTCTAACAATTTAAAACTCAGAAAGAATGTAAAAATAATAACAATTGTAAATCATTCTCCCCAACGTAGGAGCACAAGTAATAGCATACCAAACCACGACAAAGATAGCAGTGAAGGTGGGGAAAATGTGATTAATAGAATTAAGCAGAGTTTTGAAACTTCCTTTTTTAATTAAAAGCTTGTTTCTTTTCAAATTCTAATGACCCTCAGATGCATTTTAGAAATAGCGATCACAATCATGTCTTCTGGATTGTGTAAGGCTGCCTTGAAATGAACACCTGGAAAGAAACTGAAAAGAGTGGTTCCTTTCTGAGTTGCACAGAGGCGTCTGTCAATCCTGTTGCACATACATGGGTAAAACCAGAAATGCTGCCTCACGCTAGGCCAGACCATGTCAACCTTTTCCACCTAACCAGCTTTTTAAGCCCATTCTAAAAATGCTTATTCTACTGGTCTCCATGGGCTGGCTAATCTGTGTACAGACTCTCAGGTGAGGTAACTCAGGCGCCCAGGAAAACCACGCAAACCCAGAATGCTAGTGGGAGAGTAGCACTACCACAGATATGCCCAAGAAACCATCTCTGAGACTATTTCAGAAAGGACAAGGATGACCTCTGAAGACAAAGATCTACCCATTTAATAAAATTTCCGAAACCCAAACCAAATAAAACACAACCATGGCAAATCTAAATTACAACACTTTATTGCAGCATCGGCAAAGGTCAGATTTCTGAAGCTGGTGAAGATCGGGCAGCATTTCCATGTGAAATGTTACAACTTTACAAGTTTTGTTCTTATTTAATTCTACATGCAGAAACTGAAACATGGTAAAAGAAAAAAATGCAAAATAGCTAGAAAAAAAAGATGTAATCAAGTTGTAGCATACAGATGTGCTCTTTAACTAAATTTACTATGCCTATCGGAAAGCAAACGAAAGACAACTATCCTAATAAATTAACAGATTGCCAGAAACAGACTAAGAACCCTCATTTCTATTTAGTGGGGGGGAAAACAAAACAAAACAAAACAAAAACAAATGCAAAATAAAAGCTCTACTGTTTCCATACTTTCTTTAAAGACAGAGGCTGTAAACCCATGAAGGTCAACAAAATCTTCTGATCCCCTTTCCTTGTTGTCCTTCATCCATTTTCTGTGACATGCTGACTGGTACGCTGTTTGTTTTCTATGATACTTACAATGGGCTCAACTCTCCCTGTTCTTGGGCTGGTGTCAGATTCCTCTAAGCCATCTGAACTCCTGCTCTTTGTGTAGTAGAAGTCTTCACATTTTTCTTTTACCCTAGTAGGCAATTTTGTATTACTGACTCTGATGGATAAAACTGATTTTTCTCCCTCATCCCTTGTTCCTCTTGAAACAAATTCCTAAACAAAAGCCTTCCTGGTGGATTATCTGGTATTTGGTTATCTTTCATCATTTTGTTGTCCTGCATGTAAGTTTTTACTAGAAGGTTTTACTGCTTGCTCTATACTTTTCTACTGCAGTCCTGGAGCCCCCAAATGTATCTTCTTCCAACATGGGATATTCAATTCAGAGACACTGTAACTCAAATCAAATTTAAAACTCAAGTTCATTTCCCCCATACCATTACCATCACAACCGTTTCTTCTCTGGCTCAGTCATCTCGTTGACGCTCTTCTTGGTGTAACTGCTCTGTAGTCAAGTTAACCATCTCATTTCTTGACCGCCATTCACAAGAGAAGAGTAACCCTCACGTGATTTCCATTACAAAAGGCCTTTACGCCTTATCTGGAAGCTTCGGCTTGTTCCGGTGTTGGCAGAGGCTGCTGTTCCCGCCTCACGGCCCCAGCCTGTCCCAGGTTTGGATTCGCAACTCTCTAGACCGACATGCTGAGATGTGTCCACTGCTCTCATTCAATTGCTGGAGGACTCCACTATCCACAACATCAGATACAGGACCTAATGAAATGACACGTGCTGCTGGATCAACGTCTCCTGGAGGCACAAACAGGGCAACGTTAAAAAGAACTAGCACTGAGGGCAAACTTCTGGCAAGAAAAGGCCCCCTCAACACCACCAACCGCTGTTTCCTGAGGTGTCCCAGGCAAATCGGTGCTTCTTAAAGAGCACACAAACTCCTACTGGACAAAGAAACAACAGGAGCAGAGGGGCACTAAAACAAGCAATTCTGACAGAGATCAGACAGGTGGTCCTGGAATCTTGCCTGTAACTACCTTCTAAGGTGCTGAGTGCCTAGGGTTTGTATAATAGTTGAACTGTGTCCACCCCACCCCCCAAATCCGCATGTTGAAGTCTAATGCCAGGACCTCAGGATGCAACCTGATCTGCAAAGGGTCAGTGCAGATGTAATTAGTTTAAGATGAGGCCACATTGGAGTAGGACAGGCCCGTAATCCAGTGTGACTTTCTAAGGAGGGGAAATTTGGATACAGATCACTCAGAGGGGGAATGCCAGGTGAAGATGGAGGTGCAGGGATTGGCAGTGCTGTGGGAGCTGAGGGAGGACCCTGAACAGACTCCCCCTCACAGGTGTCAGGAGGAGGCAAGCCTGCAGACACCTGGCACCAAGATGAGGAGTTGGCCGCCATCACCCAGCGGGTGCTGCGTCCTCTGGCAGCACTAACAGTTCACTGCTCACAAGAGAAGCTTATACGAGCAAGAAACAGATTTCAAAGAATAAGATGCGAATATGGCGAAGTGTATCTTCAGCTCGATATATCTGTAACTGCACTGAACTGAACGGAACAAGGTCTGTAACACAAGTATTCCCTGAGAGAGTGTCTCTCCTGAAGTCAAGTCAAATGGTCTAAAATAGAATATTTTAAATAAATACAATAAATGATGGGAAAAAAATGTCCAGTCTTTTTTTTTTAAGACTTTATTTATTTATTTGACAGAGAGACATCAAGTAGGCAGAGAGGCAGGCAGAGAGGGAGGAAGGGAAGCAAGCTCCCTGCTGAGCAGAGAGCCCGATGCAGCAGGGCTCCATCCCAAGGCCCTGAGATCATGACCTGAGCCCAAGCACATCTCCTTAAGATGGATTAAAAGAAGTCCTAAAGTATTTTGGACTACTTGGAGTGTCATTTGTATTTCAGCAGCTTTGACATCACCTGAGAGATGTTAGAAATGAGTGAAAACTAGCAGTTTAATAAAAGCCACGAAAATTAAAATACATATTTAGGGGCACCTGGGTGGCTCAGTTGGCAGAGTGACTGACTTTTGATTTTGGCTCAGGTCAGGATCTCAGAGTCGTGAGACCAGCCCTGCACTGGGCTCCATGCTGGATGTGGAGCCCACCTGGGATTCTCTCTCCCACCCCCACCCCTGCTCGTGTGGGTACTCTCTCTAAAAAAAACCAAAAAACACAAAAAAAAAACAAAAAATAAAACCATATATATATAATTATATGTATATGTATTTTAAAGTTTAAGGAGCACTGGTTTAATTCATATGAATTTTAGCACAGAAACTGTATCAGCACTAATACTTGCCAAAGATGTGAAGTTTCAGTATTTTCAACACTGGCAGAGTGGAAAACAACCTTTTCTGCACTGGTTAACTGTTTTACTAGAACGTTATTACAATTTTAATGCATTATAAGCAAATGCCTATCCTTTGTTAGGGTATCACTGCCCAGTGAGAAGGGCTGCAATTTTAATTCAAACCTATTTTAAGGATCACTTGTGATTAGAAAAATTTTAAATCATTATAATTAATGCCTGGGAACCTATCAAAATCTGCTTTAATAACCAGTGTCCAAATGAATTTCTCCTTATCTAACATATAACATGGACAATATTAATAACTAATTTTTTTTTTAAATAAATGGTAGCCAAGTTAAGAGACAAGTTGAAAACAGTTTCTCAGACCTGACTCAAGTTTTCTTCCCCCTCCTCTGTTTAGGAATTTATCTCACAGCACATTCTTCCTAAGGGATCTGATGAACCACTGCTCTAGATACACATCTTTCTACTGTCTGGCCCAGTGTTAAAAATAGAAAATAAATAAAGAGGTGCCAAACCACCAGGAGACTCCACCCTACCAGTTATGTTCCTTCAAATGACTACATTTCTTCACTTAAAATTTGTTTAAAAAAATGGCAAAGAACATTTGGTCAAAAACTTATGTTTGCATGACTGCTTGTTCTTCTCCCATGCTCACTCATGCCTGTATTATAAGACCACCGTAATATTTTACAGAAAGCCATTTTTAAGAATGATGGATAAGTTAGCATTTTTTATTGACTTATGACTTTAAGAAGAGATTTTGAAACAGGAAGAGATGGTAACTCAAGAATTGGACTTTCACAAAATCAGGAAATGAGGGAAGAGCTAGGGGACAGAGCTTAGGGAAAAAGTTTATTAAATTACTAAATACAGATTTTTCAACGTTTCTCTGTCCATTCAACAAATATTAATTGAGCATCTACTATGTGCTAGGCCCAAGAGCCATGGAGGATTTATAACAGAAAACAAGATAAGGCTTCACTTCTGTCCTCAATCTTCAGTCTCATGGGGAATATAAAGACAAGTTAGGAGGTGATTACACAGGACAAAGTCTGTGGAAATACAGGGCAGCATATATGCACCAACTTACGTCAGACTTGAGACTATCAGGTAAGATGTGAAGGAAGAACAGGAGATTTCCAGACGAAAACACGAGAAAGTTCCAAACAGAAAACATAACTAGAAGGACTTAAAAGGCCAGCTTGGTTGGGAGTAGAGGAAGAGAAAGAGATACAGTCAATAAGGTAAGTACAAACGCCACCCCCCTCCCCCAATAATGCAGGGCCTTGGTTACTAAGTTTAGGAGTTTGGACTTTATCCTACAAGCCATGAGGAGCCACTAAAGGTTTTAAGTAGAAGAGTTCACCTAATCAGACAGCAGATGGGCAAACTGAGAAAGAACAAAGTGAGTACAGCAAAGAGAATGAATTAGAAGGGGTTGATATTGGAGACTGAGAAGTAATCAGGGGGCAGCAATCCAGTAAGAAGTGATAGCAGCCGGGGTGCCTGGGTGGCTCAGAGGGTTAAGCCTCTGCCTTCAGCTCAGGTCATGATCTCAGTGTCCTGGGATCGAGTCCCGCATCGGGCTCTCTGCTCGGCGGGGAGCCTGCTTCCCCCCTGCCTCTCTGCCTTCCTGTGATGTCTGTCAAATAAATAAATAAATCTTAAAAAAAAAAAAGAAGAAGAAGAAGAAGAAGTGACAGCAGCCTGATCTAGGGTGTCTGCAGCAGAGGTAGAATAAAATAGGCAATTATGAGAGGTATTCAATAGTAGAATCAAAGGAACTGTTAATTAATTAGATATGGAGAATAGTCCAAACTTAAACCTCCTTTTCTAGTGTGGACAAGTGGCCCAGCAGTGCCTCTGCTCGCTGAGCCAGAAAACAGAGGAGACAGACCTGAGGGCAAGAGACACATCTCCTAGGTGGTTGTTTAGAAGACAGGTAGACATACAATCAGAAACTAAAACATGTGACCTGAGCCACAGCTATGGATGGAAACTTTGCCACAGGAGAGAAGGACACCTCCCACAGAGAGTACAGGGATAAGAGAGGAGGGTCTAGGAGTGACCCTGAGTGACATGAGCGTCTCCAGGCAGAAGCAAGCCCAAAAGGAATCAGGAGACAGGAAGAAGCAGTCAAGGAGGGAAAAGAAAGACCAGAAGACTGGACAGCTATGTAAGCCCAGGGAAGAAAGTATGTCAAGAAAAGAGGGCCCACGTGCTGAGTGCTGCTGAGGCAGCCTGAAAGAAACAGAATGAAACACTGGGAGGTGGCTGGGGGCTGGGGTGAGGGGGCAGTAGACTACAGTCAGCCAGACCAGTGAGAGGTGAGAAGAAAGAGCGCATGGCCAATCCTTCCAAGTTTGGTTAACTAGGGGCTGGAGGGAGGGAACAAAAACACAAGTTAACAAAGAGAATTCTGATAAACAACTGAATAACTGGTAGCTAAAAGGCATACCCTTGTGTTCATCTATTATACATCAGCATATATAAATTTACACGTTTTCCTATTTTTTTTCCTATTGTTTAAGAAATGCCTGGTACTTAATAAACTTTCAATGACTGTTTAAATAATTATATGACTTGGACAAAATCAGCTCTTTCAAATACCTATACTTAGTTTTCCCACTGGACTATAAGCTTGAGCATAAAGACTTTGTCTTTTTGTACTTCTTAATTTGCCATAGTGTAGGACTGAGCCCATGGTAAGTGCGGATCGAGTGAAAGGTAAGGGGGGCAAATCGTACCGCAAGTATCAAATATGTATCAAATGTCATAGTTACCGATTCTTAAATCCATCCAAACATTTAAAAATTGGGAAAAACTAGGAAAATGCACTATACTTGCATTACGTGATTCAAGAAGGGATTAGGTATTAATAGAAATCATGCCATTCAGAGATGTGAAGCTATAATACGTAAGATGAAGTTGGTGGAAAACATCAAGATAAGAATATTCTAATAGATCTGTTTGCCAACCAGGAGACAAGAGAAAAAGGCAGTATCAAAAACACTGATATATATTCAAAGCTCTGTAAGAAAATGTAAAACGCAGAAAATGAAAATTTTCGTGGCTTGTTAAAACTACCTAGCTTCTACGTTTTAGTGGCAATAAAAGGTTTTACTAAAGGACTTTAATGAAGCTTGGATAATTAAAAATAACCTAATATCTTGCGCCTCATTAGATGGATTTGTACATCAGTCCTAGCTTGGCTTTCTAAAAACATTACACTCACTAGATGTTAAAAAACAGACCCCTAAACTGTCATGACAAACCAATGTGTTAACCCATAATCTGACTAGAGCTGTCTCGGCATATAGGTCAAAGAGAAATGTTACCAGGTACACACAAACACAGAGTGCGTACAAGACAGAGACTTATACTTCCCCAGCACTGCTGTCACAGTAATGAACTATTCTGCTCCCCATCCCTAACACACTCCCTCCCATACCCACCTTGCCTGCCACCAACAGCAAGGTGACATCCTGGGCCTATTGTCTGTCCTTAGGCTAAAACACCAATACCCTGAAGGAGATCAGTAAGAGCAGCATGGCCAATGTTATCTTTGATTATAACCTGACCACAAGACAGAAAATTGAGTTAATGGTATGGGTCCTTAGATCAGATCCCGGAAAAACTTAAAGTAATTTTCTCCCTTAAAAGAAGATGAATAAGGTCTTATTGGCAATCTTCTATGTGAAATTCTTTATGTAATTATAATTATTTCACTTTAAGCAACTCAAGTTTAAGCAGAACTGGCATGGATCCCGGCAGGACATTCTATAATTAAAAACAAACAAATACCTCAAAACAAACTCAACCTGCAGGCTTAAAAGTCTAGGAAATAGGTTTTGAGTTTTTGCAAATATTATCCAACACTGGCCTGAAAAATCCTAACAGAAAAGTGTGATTTCTCTCAAACTCATCTATAACTAGTCATCTCTGTGAATGCAGAAGTGAAAATTAAAGAATCCAAAAAAGTCCACTCACAGAGTGAAAGCCAAGATCAATGTGGCTGAAATTAAAAAACAAAAAAACTGTAATTATTTCATAAATGTTTTCTTTTCTCAAATATCTACAACTCAAAGACTTTTCTATGTTGCTAAAAATTAGGCCTCTATCATTAAGTATAATCCAAAACTATCTAATTTATTCATACAGACATCATGAAAAACAAGTAACTAAAGGAGGAAAAAAAAGAGAGACCATCTTACCTCCCACCAGTCTTAAAGATTAGATCCGCATTAGGTGCTCCCTTTGGATGTTGGTAACGAGGCCGCCGCTCCCGATTGGTGTTTGCTGGAGCTGGGCGCTGGGCAAGAGACTGCAGCATTTCTGTACATAGGAGCAAAACAGAAAAAGTGGTTAACTGTGGTAAATGCACTCCCCTCCATGAAGCAAATAAAACCCTAAGAGATCAACTTTTTTAGTTCTGTCAGGTAGGTGATTAAAGAAAAATAACCATCACACAGACTACAATGATTAAGAAGTTCTGAAAGAGCACACCAAGAGAGGCGACACACTCTTTAAGCATCTACTATCCAAGATTCCCCATACTGTCAATCTGGCCACTACATAAGTGTGAGGCGGTAAAACAGTATGAGAAGCAGTCTAGTTCAATAGCTACAAACATAGCATCTGGAGCCAGACAATATTGGTTCAGATCCCAGCTCTGGTACTTACTAGCTATGAGACTTCCAGTTCATTTCCCTAAATGTCAATGCAGGTAATAATAAGCACTTATCTCTTGGAATTGTGGTGAGGCTTATGTGCTTTGTAAAAGTACAGAAGTCAGTGCCCAGCCCGTAGTAGGCACTTCTGCTGAATGTTAGCCATTACTACTGACTGTTAAAAATGTTGGGTATCTACCAGAAGAGATTCTGGAACGATTTGAAGATAGAAAACCAAGTATTTATTTACTTAACAATCTCTCTTGCACAGAAAGCAGTCTGTCAATACAGTGCTATATAAAAAACAGTCATGTTATGGCTCTAAAATCTGGGTGCCAGAGAAATGCCAAAAGGCTGGCTAATGAGGTTCGTGGATTCTATACATGAGGTTCCAGTTAGTTGAAGAGTGTTGGGTACATCTGCACAAAACTAGAATCTTAATTTGAGTATACCTTCAAATCTGAAGAAGCATGGGGTCCTCGAGATAGGATTCCCAGACAAATGAGATAATAAATATGTAATGAATTAATTGTTCACAGATGACTGGCAACATGAGGCAATTATGCAGACATAGCTCTAAAAGAGTACAGAATCTAACCTGAATTATGGAGCTGGCAGAATATGATGAAAATGACATTGTTATTTTGCAAGTAAGTGAAGACAGAATGGAATATAAAAGCAATTTCTTAAGTTTAATATTTACAAAGATGACATGAAAAGGAGGAGAGTGTAAAAAACCCTGATATTCTATATTTAAAAAGCCCAAAAAGCATAAAACTTTTCCACTTCTGTCTTATAAAGGATTATTTACCTTGATAATCTTCTTGCTCTTGCCGCTCATTGATATCTAAAGTGAGCTTTTTCATTCTCATCCTTTCTTCTTGTTCTGCCTGTTGCTGGTTCCAGTGATTTGCAGCAAGTTGGGAAGACATCGGTACATTAAGGATCTTAAACTGAGAAAAAATAACAAAGAAATAACAAATGGCTTGAGAAAATCGAAGAAAAACAATTTCAAATAAAATGCTAAGTAGAATTAAACAAATTTAGAAAAAATAATGTCTTTCCTCTAAGTCAATAAAGACAGTATCATCCAAGAACATAAAACAGATTAATAGTCTTAATCTTCTAGAGACAAACCCACTCAGGTTGGCTAGGAAGTGGAAAACTATCAAGTTCAATCTCAAGAAGAGTAGAAGCTCCTCTTGCCTGCATTGTTTAGAAACACTCAATTAGCAACAGGGTATCAACTTCCATCAAAAAGACCTTATTATGTATGGGTAATTGTCAAAAAGGCTTTTTATGCAAGCTGTAACCTGCATCCTTTTTATTTCTATCCTCTGGAACCAGTTCTGGCCTCCCCGACCATACCACAAACAAATCTACGCCATCTTTAGTATTGACACACCTTCTTACTTCTAAAGATAGAATACAGGAAGAGTTAAGAAACTACCCTGTAAGATCTATTTCTCTGTTACAGGAGAGTCCTTATCTATGAAATGCTTTTGTTTTTAGCAGGATGTCTCTAGTTAGGATTGTGCAACATATACAAACCTAGACAGAAGCTATGAGTTTAAGAGCTCCCCGGAAATCGTTGAGTAAGTTACATAACTATCTGAACACAAAAAGGAAATTCTCTCTGCTGTGGATAATGTGCACACCTCAGTTAAGAGAACTTCTCAAATACTCTGGATCAATGGCATGCCTGATGAGGAAAGAAAGGACATCAAGACCTGTGCTCAGGATCCTCTCTCTGGTGGGTCTATGCCATTTTGAATGCTTATATCCTTGAATTAGTAAAGCTTAACACTGTTTAAGTCTGACTCATGTGAATCTGATCAGACAATCTGGTTCTTCATATTATCTCAGATGTCCTCTCTTGATACTCACTTGTGTATGATGCACTTTAGTCAGTTAACATTCCTCTTAAAATATAATACCCAGAACACTAAATGCACCAGGCCAGATACACTAAGGTAAAAAATATTAAGTGGGGGTATGAAACATCTACAAACCCAACTAACTGCATTTCATTTTTATCACAGTAGATAACCAAGTATCTCCTATTTCAAAATACAAATATATTTAAGGTAGTCCATTTGGCTACCAGCCTAGCAGACTTTACCCATTCTCCCCAATGAGATTAGTTTGACTTAATGTGCTCTTAGTGGTCAAGGACAGACTTTCTGAAACTATCCCTTTCTATTTTATGAGTTCAAAACCATCTTTTAAAGAAAAAAAACACATACACATTCAATCAAGAAAACCTCACTGCAATCAAGATAATGAGCATGTCCATTACCTCCAAAGACTCCTCTGTCCCTCTGTAACCCATCTTTTCCTCTACCCCAACCCCAGGCAATTGCTATTTCTGTCACTACTGATTAGTTTGAACTTTCTAAAATTTTATGTAAGTTGAATCATACAACATGTATTTCATTTTGTCCAGCCTCTTTTAATTCCCACAATGATTCTGAGATGCATCCATGTTGCTGCGTGCATGAATAGTTTGTTCCTTCTTATCGAAGAGCAGTACTTCTTTATATGAACATACTGCAATCTGCTTTACTTGTTGACAGCACCTGGGCTTCCTACTTTGGGTTATTACAAACACATTTACAAATGTTTGTGTGGACACAGGTCTCCAGTTTTCTCAAATACAAAATGCTAGTAAAGAAAAGCTGGGACTAGCTGGTGTATTTTTAAATTTTTTTCAAGTAAGCTCTATACCCAAAGTGGGGCTTGAACTCATGACCCTGAATTCAAGAGTCACATGCTTTACCAACTGAGCCAGCTAGGCACCCTGTGATGCGTTTTACTTTTTAAGAAACTACAAAAATATTTCCCAAAGTATTTGTACTACTTTACATTCCACTAGCAGTGTAAGAGAGTTCTGGTTCCTCCACACCCTTGCCAATACTTGGGATGGCTTATCTTTTTAATTTTTTTAAATTTTTAATTTTAGCCATTCTAGTGAGTATACAGTGGTATTTTTATTGGTTTTAATTTTCATTTTCCTCATGACTAAAATCATCTGTTTCAAAATTCAATCTAGAACTATGCTAAAAGGTGATATAAGTTTACTGGATTGTACAGTTTTCAGAATGTACTTTTCCCTTGCTCTTTGAACAAGGAAATTATTTGCCCATTAGGAACCTTTCGACTACTACCTCAATATGAAAGACTTTCTAAGTTTAACGACAACTGCTCTATAATTACTTATAGAAGTTATTTCAGTCTTTGAGGATATAATTGGTTTTTAACTAAAGACTGGGACTCATTTAAAGTAGATAAATTATCCCTTTCGACACTATCTAATTTTACCCGATCTTCAACTTACCAACTGCCAGGATGAAATCTTCCTTGTTGATAAAAGCAAAAGTGAATGGTTGGTTCGTTCCCGCCCCCGCCTGCCTGGCCCAAAATCTCTCCACAAACGGTGGGATTACCCTTCCTTGTTCTTATGATCCTGAACATAGCATTTTAAAAAGTACTTCCTCTTGTCAACTATACTTCAATTAAAAGAAAAAGCATTTACACATCCTCTACATCTCCTTTAAAAACTGCTAGCTGTGGACTGTTTATGGTCTGACGATAGTCCATTTTCTCCTTCATCCACAATTATGATTCTGTGTTTTTCCTGCCCCTACCCCAAACTTCCTTTCAGTTCCACATTACAATCAGTGCTTTCATGAAATATACACTTGCCAGGCAGTGCTGCAAAGAAGACCATGGATTTTTGTGGTCAAACAGATGAGGTTCACAGCTCAGGCCTACTATATATTAGCACAATTCGGCAAATCACTTAAGAACACTCTTTCTCTCAGCTATAAAATGGTATCAAGACTATCTTTTAGGGTGCTGTAAGAATTAAGTAAGATAAATATGTACAGTGCCTAGGACACAGTAGGTTCTCCATAAATATTACCTATTAATAACGCATCAAAATAACAAAGTACAGAATAATAGTCACCCTCATTAGTTACTATACAGCTGAAACCAAAACTGCAGAAAAATAAAATCACAAGTCAACTAAAAACATCACTTTCTCAGCAGAATGACACTGACAACCACCAAGTAGAAACTGAAGACCTTAACTACTCTGTCTCCCGTCCTGAGGCCTGTGTAGTAGTCTACATCAGGAATGTGTCTGTATCAGATGGGACTTGCCCAACTGTGTCTTATTTCCACTAACAAAAACAACTGAAACAAAGTTAAAATGGTCATCATTCCTGCTAATAAATCTTTCATTTTTCACAAATCAAGAAGACGCACAAAAAATAAGTTAATGAAAAAGTTCAGCTCAAAGTAACCTTTCTGCCAGACTCTTTACATGTTATTTAATAGGTGAAACAAAAACCTCATAATAAATTTACTCTTCCTAAGCAGAATTACTGAGACGTTGCATTAATTCATAATGAAATTTTAAATTTCCAGCACTATGTGTGAAGAAAGCATTCTGTTTCACCTACATTCCCAAATCCAGGTACTATAAACTACTGGTAGAGAAAAGCTGATTAGGGGCGCCTGGGTGGCTCAGTGGGTTAAGCCTCTGCCTTCAGCTCAGGTCATGATCTCAGGGTCCTGGGATCGAGCCCCACGTCGGGCTCTCTGCTCAGCACTGAGCCTGCTTCCTCCTCTCTCTGCCTGCCTCTCTGCCTACTTGTGATCTCTCTCTCTCTCTGTCAAATAAATAAAATCTTTAAAAAAAAAAAAAAAAAAGCTGATTAAAACAGACACTACAGGGGTGCCTAGGAGGCTCAGCTGGTTAAGTGTCTGCCTTTAGCTCAGGTCATGATCCCAGGATCCTGGGATAGAGCCCAGCATCAGGCTCCCTGCTCAGCGATGAGTCTTCTTGACTCTCTCCCCCTGCTTGTATCCTCTCTCTCTCTCTCTTACTTGCTCATTCTCTCTCTCAAATAAATAAAACCTTAAAAAAATAAATTGTAAAAAAAAAAGACAAAAACAAAAACAAAATAACAACAACAAAACAATCCAGACACTGCAAACAGAAGTGGGCCCAATTATTATGACAGCAGAAGCAGGTATATCAAATTCCAGGAAGACCACAAGAATGAGGACAATTTCCAGAATGATGACTTAAAGCAATTTTCCAATCTTCTCTTAACAGAACAATTGTGAAATCTGGTTAGCAGATATATCAGAGATACAAATACTCTAAATAAAATTTAATCTGCCAGTATAAATCAATAAAGACAGAGCTGTATAAATTAATACATTAGTTTTAAAGATATAATTACACATAAAAGAACAATGTCTGAAATAAAGTAGGAATTCAGTATGTTTCAGCTGTTACTGTTATCACCACAATTACTTTCTTATTTTTATTAGAAGTCAGAAATCTGGACAATGCTGAGTACTGTCGCAGTGGAATACAAGATACCTATTAGGTTTCAAGAATCACAACTAAATTTTAAGTCACTCTCTGATCCTAGTATCAAGATGCCTTATTTCAGATAAGGATAAAGAAAGGTGAGGGGCACCTGGGTGGCTCAGTGGGTTAAAGCCTCTGCCTTCAGCTCAGGTCATGATCCCCCCATAGGGTTTTCTATTCAGCAGGGAGCCTGCTTCCTCCCCTTTCTCTCTGCCTGTCTCTCTGCCTACTTGTGATCTCTGTCAAATAAATAAAATCTTTAAAAAAAAAAAAAAGGTGAAAATCTGAGTTTCTCAAAGTAAATTATACAGACTCTAATATTACAATGCTCTTACCTATTCAGCTAGCTGCTTTTCCTTAAAAGCTTTACAAACTGGTTTTAAACATGTGTAGATATATGCAAACACAGAGTGACATGCTACTGTTTCACAAAATACTCAGGGCAAAGCGGCCCAATAAGAAAGGCAGACAGATAATTTCTTGAAATCACAAGCTGCAATTCAAAGATGCTTCTATCTGTTACCACATTAACACACTCAGAGAGAAAACAGGGTGGCCGTTTTTTTCCCCTTTCTGGGTTTCTGATAGTAACATTTAAACTGTCCTTCATAATTCAGTACTAAAGAGATGAATAATGATGGTACTTACCACACTAATAAAACATTATAAAAGAAATTTCATAATGATTTGATAAAAAATATGAAAAATATAGGCTTCTATTCATTTATGAGACTGACTTGAGATAAGTTCTACAAAAGAAAATGTTCTGAAATCCTTAAAAAGGATATAAAAGAGAGTAATAAATACAGAGAGCACAAGAGACCAATTTCCTGATGCCACCATCACCAACTGACTTTACTGTAAAGCTGCCAAAACATTTTTAAAAGAGAGTTACTACTTTATAGCAAATTAGATGACAAAAAGACGAAAGTCTTTTAAACTACATTTTCTGGAATGCAATAATTGCAATAAAGGTGACTTAGGCTGTATTTTAAAGCTATTTCATAACTGCAGCTGAAACTGAAATATACACACATAACCCCAAGTATCAATTGCTATAGTCAAAAGATATATAAAACAAATGATGACTCCTTATAAATATTAACTGCAAAAAAATGGGTTTACGATTATATATAAAAAATATACTGTACATTTGTTTAGAGCAGTCAAAAAAGCTCTTTAAAACATTATATAATGGTTCTATTAAAACTTCTATCTTAATAGCCAAAACATCTTATTTAATTTATAAATATTTAAATCTAGAAAAATAAATTATGAATAGCATTATCCTCTTTTCAACTACTCATTTCATCAGTACCTACTTTTATTTTCCTAATGACTACAGAAGAAAGTTATTTCTCAGCAGAAATCTGGTACACAAAGAGATCATTCACTTAAGAACTAAAGATTCCTATAAGGCAAAACATTTCACATTTCTAGAAAAACCGTTACATAATAAGGGCCAACACCCAAAAGTTAAATAAAGAAATAAAAATCAGAACAAAGTAACTTTCTTTTTCAGACCACAAAATACCAGTGATGTTTCTTCAAATGTTCCTAAAACTGAACATTTTCCAAAATTCCAAATAAAGTTTGAGTTGAAAATTTACTTATTAACCAAGTACTCTGAACTCTCACTTCATCTTGCTAATATATTTTTAGTAAAGTTCAATAAAAATGTTTCCTTAAAAATTAAAATTTCACATTTTAAGAAATAAAAATTTCCACTCCTCATTTTGTATAAAGTTATATGGGTTATACAGTATATAATCTATCTACTTTAAACCAAAAATATTCCTTCTAAAAAATAAACAAGTTTTACTTCCATCGATACTATTTAGAATTTAGGACTGCTGAAAAGAATTTATTTTTCAAAGCTCAGAAGTTTCTTAGCTGTGGTTTAATTTATGCCTGCATGTCCTAAAAAGGTCAAATGGTATCTATGAATTGACAAAGTTAAAAGGAATTTCCACATGTGCCTCAAAAAAGGGAGGGACAAATGATGAAAATGGATTTAAATCTTGTGCAATTTAATCTTCACAGAAAGATGTTCCTAAGCCCCCTTTTAGATAAGAAAAATGGTTTGGGCCACCTGGGAGGCTCGGTCAATTAGGCAACTGACTTCAGCTCTGGTCACAATCTCAGAATACTGGGATCGAGCCCCATGTGGTGGGGCTCCCCACTCAATGGGGAGTCTGCTTGTCCCTCTGCCCCCACCCCTCAGCTCATACTCTCTCTCAAATAAATAAATCTTAAAAAAAAAAAAAAAAAAGATTAAGAAAAATGTTTCAAGAAGTATGCCAGTAATACAAATGTTCAGTAGCTGCTCTGGAATGGGAACCAAGGCACATCTAACTGAAGTCGCCAAGTACTGCCCTTCACAGTAAAACAAAACAAAACAAAACAAAAACCCTCTCTTTTGGGCCCAGAAAATCTGGTGTGGGGTAGGGGAGGAGCTAAGAGCTTTTAAAGAAAACAGAGAATGAAGCAGACCTAAAACGTAATGACTGAAAGGATAGTGAGCCTCAGAGAATGTAGTAGTCCCTAGGAAAGAAAAGCAGAAACTCTGGGCTTTGAGAATCCTAGGAACCGTGATGAACTAGCAGTTTCAGGTGCTCTGAGAGCAGTTTTGCAAAGATCTTGATTCAACACCAAGTTTAGGGTCTTGATTAGAAAAAACCCTTATTTTTCTAGGGACTGAGTGGAGGATGGGGTAGGGGGGAATTGCCAGAGTTCAAACCTGGCCTGAGGGTGGGTGAAGGCAGAGCTCCCCTAAATGCACAACAACCCCAGAGGCCAGGATGGAGGAAAGGCCATGACTGGAAAAGAATTATGAAGGCAGTGTTTGAAAGACACAGTAGTGCTCTGAGCCTGAGCCAAAGTTAACTGCTGACATACAACATGATGTGAAGCCTTCTCTGGCCCTCCTTTCCAGGGTTCTAATTGGTGTACAAGTTTTGTATCTCAAGATTTACTTGCAGTATAGCAAAATACTGGACAACTCTGATCCCCTGAGTACATAAGATTACCCGACAAAAGCAAAGATAAAAAATTAATTTGGGCACCATCTCTTGGTGGCTGTACTGGTGAGGAGGGAATAGACTATCCCTTCCGTCACAGATGACATCTCATTAGAGATCTTGCAGACCATCCACTCCAGCACAGTAGGCTCCCTCCCTCTCTCCCCACCTGTCTCTCTCTAGCCTCTATCTTGCTTTATTTTCCTTCATAGGATTTCCCTCAACCTCACCTTGTGTGTTTCTTCACTGTCTGCCTCCCAGCACTGGGATGAAAATTCCCCTCTCCTCAACACCCCCACAGCCCCGCCCCACGCTCCCACCCCCTCCTGCCCAGAGGAGGGACTCTGGTGACTACTGTACATTCTGCACCTGGGGCAGTGCCTGGTACATACAGAGCAAACAAGAAATTACCTGTTACATGACTGTTTGAATGAATACAGAAGCCAGGTTATTAGAATTATCTATAACAGACTTATTACAGAGTCTGTAATTATAAGTCTATATTATAGACTTATCTATGGTAAGTTGTGGTAGCTACCATATTTCATAGAACCTAATGTTCCCTTAATTTTAAGATGCTCCATTATTTTACACACCACTAAAACAGGAAAAAATGCTGCCAATTATCATAAGATACAATCAATGCTAGGAGGCAGCTTGATTTCAGAAATGTTAAAATGTGAGAAAATTTTTATAGAATTGGTAATGGGTGATATATCCTAGAGTTGTATCTGAGAGCTGAGCTTTTTCTTTCTTCATAGCACACTGCACTCTCTGCAAATACATTTGTCTCTCAACCTTGGCAGGATGTCAACTCACAAGGGCAGGGACTTTATCTTATAGATCACCAGAGCCTCCGTACTTGGTATTTGGCATCTAGCAAATGCTCAATAACCAATAAATATTTGATGGATAAACAATGAATCAGTGTATGAATCCCTTAAGTAATAGTTTAGCAGTCAGGGAAATGATTTTGAGGACTGTCTATAAGATAATGGAAAGAAGGAGGAAGCAGTATAAGGAGAATGGGGAAGGATAAGAGGTCAGAAAACAATGATTTGAGAGATCTTTTTTTTAAAAGATTTAATTTATTTATTTGACAGAGATCACAAGTAGGCAGAGAGGCAGGCAGAGAAAGAGAAGGAAGCAGGCTCCCTGCTGAGCAGAGAGCCAATGCAGGGCTCCATCCATGGACCCTGGGATCATGACCTGAGCTGAAGGCAGAGGCTTTAACCCACTGAGCCACCCATGCGCCCCTTCAAGAGAAATCTTAACAACTGAACATTTTCTTGAGCTGTATCTGTCATCATCCTCCTTTCCTTTCCCACCGAGCTTACTTATGAAACCTATAAGTCAAAGTATTTATATATTCTAACAAATATATATGAATTTAAATGTCCTTTCTTTTAAAACATATCCATTCACTACAAGTCAGATGTGTCTTCCACACATATAAAAAATAAAATTATTTCTACCTCTGAATACTTTAAATGTTTCCAACTCTTTCCCCTCATAGGCAAAAGATAACTTAGAACCTACAAAACAGTTATTAGTTAAACTCAGTAACTAACAATCAATTGTGAATGCACAGAGGACAGTTTCTTACCTGCTGTTTATTGCCTTTTCTTGTTAACATGACAAACGGCATTGTGTCTGCAGACTCTGCCTCTCCCTCCCCACCACCGAGTGGAGGCCCTTTCCTCAGCTGGCTTTTGAGATGCAAGGGAATAGCAACATCTAGTTGGTGCACTTTAACAGATTCGCCACTTCGTTGCTTAAAGACAGAAATGAAAAAATATAAGTATTCCAAGGTACACATGGATATATGTAAATATAATTGTGAACAATTCATTCAGTGCCATAGTTCCTAAAACACACCAATCACTGGAGCCAAAGTAATCTTTCTGAAAGGTAACCAAAACCGGAGTTGGCCCCTCCCCTGCCCCTGCTCTTACAGCCGGCTTGGCAGACCTCTGTGACCAGCTCCTATTTATCACTGTAGCCTCCCCTGAGGCCAAAACACACAATGCTGTAGGTTCTCCTAACTTTACCCGGTCCTGAAATGCACAGCCACACCACACATCTTCCTACATAATTACCATGTGTCACAAGTGCCTGCTCCTCTGTGAGAATCCTCCACCAGACTGGTGGGGTTCAGCACTGGACACCCTTTCCCTGGTGTCCTCTAGCAGGTGCTCAATTAATGTTTAAGAATGAATGAAATCTATTAATGTTCAGATTAGCTTTATGTTTGTTAACATCCAAGTTTTTAACATTTACGCCAGGTTCATCAACCAATTATTTAAACAAACCTTCACTGAAGACTTACTGTGCATTAGGCTTTGAGGTACTAATACTAAAAATATAGTCTCTATCCTCAGAGAGCTCATAACTTGTTAAGAGAGAGAAATCAATTAATTACAATTCATCCAAGTCATATATAACCTGTGTTGGGCGTAGAGTGGCTATATATAGGCCCAGTTGGGAGTGGGTGGATGCTGAGATTTCATAAAAGACAATAAAAATGGGACACTTGAAAATATCTTTAAGGCTTCATATGATTTCTTATAAGCAGACGGTAGCAGAGCAGTCTGGGGGATTTGGAAGGAATTTAGGAAGGGGAAGAATAGGTGCAAAGCGAAGACATGAAACATGGTGCATTTACGGACCTGCACACAATTTTCCGTATTTGCTGAAAGGAGCACAAATGAGGAAAGAGCTGAACATGATTCTTCAAAGCTAAGCAGGTAATGCTGAAAAGGCCATGAAGGTTTTGAAATTGCTTTACTACAATTTAAAAGATCTTTCGATATAGGTTCCTTATTTCCAAGAGATTTCAAATCAAATAAAATGGTAATAAGGTGTAAAATTTTGTTATTTCTAAGTTCCACTTTGTTAGAATTTGAAGTTCTCCCAGGTCTGTAAGATTTACAAAGACTTTTTACTTAAAACTTGAAAGGATCAGGTTAGATCACCCTTGATTTATAAATTAACCATTTTCTAATTATAAAATTAACATATTCTCTTTGTAAATTATTTAAATACAGAAATGTATCAGCTAGTGTGTCCATCCATACCAACCTCTCCCTCGACCGACCACCTCTACCTGCTCCAAGGTACAAAAACCAGTATCAATGGGGCATGTTCTTTCAGATTTTTCTTGAAAATACTAATATAAACATAAAAATTTACAAGGTGCAAATGTGCATACTGTTCTATACGCGTTTTTCTTCTTTTTGATTCCATAGGCATCTTTCTAGTTGAGTATATATAGAGCTAATTACATGGCTATGCCCTTATTTATGTAATTGGTCCTCTACTGATAGTCTAGACTTTTTTCCTTTCCTTTTTTTTTTTCTTTAAAGATTTTATTTATTTGAGAGCAAGCGAGCATGCACACAAGCTGGGGAAGAGGGAGAAGGAAAAGCACACTCCCAGCTGAGCAGGAAGCTCAACCTACAGACACAGCGCCTGATACCAGAACCCTGAGATCATGACCTGAGCCAAAGGCAGCCACTTAACCGACTGAGCCATCCAGGGGCTCCTAGACTCTTGTTCTATTACAATATGACATCGTTGCATATTTAACTTCATGCATTTGAGAGACAATTAGTAAGGGTAAATTTTTATATCAAATGGCATCCCCATTTGATAGGTTTACTAAATTTCCCTCTAAAAAGGCTGGACTAATTCACACATTCCAAATGCAGATGTTTACCAACACTTAACCACAATGGGTATTATTACTTTTTAAATCTTAATATCTGGTGATCTGATAAAAAGGCTCATCCTAATTTACTTATCTTTTTTTTTTAAAGATTTTATTTATTTATTTGTGAGAGAGAGAGCACAAGCAGGGGAGGCAACAGGCAGGCTGAGAGGGAGAAGCAGACTCTCCGCTGGGCAGGGAGCCCGATGTGGGGCTCAACCACAGGACCCTGGGATCATGACCTGAGCCGAAGGCAGATGCTAAACCAACTGAGCCCCCCAGGCACCCTTAATTTGCTTATCTTTTGATTATCGTGAGCTTTAGCATGGTTTCACTTATTTTTTCAATCAACAAAAAGACCGCAGGTCATGGATTTTTTTTTTCTCATTGGCTAGCAGGATCTGCTGCTATAGTACAGCTATTAACCCTGCATTTTATATGTATATATATATATACACACACACACATATTTATATTACACACACACACACACACACACACACACACACACACACACACCCGCCACGCACCCTCCCTTCCCCCACCCCCTGCCCGGTTTGTCATTTCTTATGGCATTCTATGATGGAAAGCAAAATAGCAAGGTGGTTGAGAACAGACTACACCACTTACGAGGCTTATGGCCTTAACTGCGGCATGGCAATATTAACAGTATCTGACAGCACTGTATGAAGAATAAATGTGAAGTCTTAATGCAGTACTCAATAGTCTGAACATTTCTTGAGATTTCTGATAAATTTGCAATTAATTCTGTTGTGGAAATAAAATAGAAATTCAGTTTTATTTTTATTGACCATTCACTGAATAATCCATTTCCCTCAACTGATCTGCAATGTTATCTTTACAGTCTAAGCTGCCATGTTTTAGGTCTATTTTGGACTCTCTTATTTCATTAATTTACTGCTGTGCAAATTATTATGTCTTTAAAATGTTTTATTTTCTTATAGAGTATCTTCCCCTACTTTCCAGAAGTTTCCTAGCTATTTTATTCTTACAGATACATTTAAGAATAATTTTGTTAAATCTTAAAAACAAGCCCTTTCTCTCTAATAAATAAAATCTTTTAAAAAAAACTTTCTCTCAAATAGATAAAATATTTTTAACCCCCTGAGCCACCCAGGTGCCCCAGATAAAATATTAAAAGAAAAAAAAAAAAGAATTTTGTTAATTTCATTCTGCCTCTATCTCCCTATTCTTCTCCAACTACCTCCTCCCCCCATCCATCATTCCCATCCCCTGCCAATCTTTCCAGTGGGACAAATTATGACTACACAAAATCTAAGGACCTGATTTATGGAGAATCAGTATCTTTTACCCTACTGTGTCTTCCTGGGACAACTTTATCAAAAGAAAAAAAACTCCCTGTGGCTGTTTGCTTTGGGTATTTGACGATGTTTGAAAATTAGTGCTTAATTTGGGATTAAATTTTCTCCAGTAGGCTAAACACATACACATAAATGTGAATTCAAGCTTCCCTCCTCTCTGATCACATACTCCCATCCTTCTAGCTTGCTTCTTCAAGAACTCCCAATAACCAATGATTATTGGACCCTATCAAAAGACTGTATCTTGACTCCATCAGCTTTTCTATTTCTAAATGTTAGGGGCTGCTCAGGACTGGAATCTGCTCCTCCTCTCTCTCCAAACTTTTTTTTTTTTTAAGTAGGTTCTAGGGGCGCCTGGGTGGCTCAGTGGGTTAAAGCCTCTACCTTTCGGCTCAGGTCATGATCCCAGGATCCTGGGATCGAGCCCCACATCAGGCTCTCTGTTCAGCAAGAAGCCTGCTTCCCTGCCCCCCTTCTCTGCCTACTTGTGGTCTCTCTCTCTCTCTCTGTCAAATAAATAAATAAAATCTTTATAAATAAATAAATAATAAAGTAGATTCCATGCCTAGTGTGGAGTCCAGTGTGGGGCTCAAACTCATGACCCTGAGATCAAGACCTAAACTGAGATCAAGAATTGGACACTGAACTGATAGCCACCCAAGCCCCCCCCCCCCTCCAAACTTTCTATGTGGGTGATTCATTTATTGCTCCATCTTTAAGTATGCTCTAACAACCAATCCACTTATGTTTCTCTTCTGATATCTGACAATTCCATTTTGGCATTTCACAGGCTTCTCAAACTTAACATAGCCAAATGGAACTCTTGCTCACTTTCTCCTTATTTCCGACCAGAGATAACTAGCCAGTGGCCTAAACTAAAAAACCTGTGCTGTCCTGGACTCCTTTACCCCACCGCTATCTAATCAAGTGCCAAATAAATCTGGTTCATTCTTCTTCCTAAACAGCTTTTGAATCCAGACTTCATTCCCTGTGCCCCGCCACTATTCTAGACAGATAATCATCATCTGTCACCAGGATCACCAGCCTTCTAATCAGTCTTCCTGACACTCTCCTTGCTTTTCGTCTTATCCCATCCTAAACCTTCATATGAACCTTTGGTTCATACACGACTGAAAAGAAAGAAATCCAAAGAAAACCCATCATAAATATCCATTCACATACCAGGCCACCCTCCCCACTGACCTGACTACGCTCTGGTAATACTGGCTTCCTTTTAGTTTTTCAAACACTACACATCATCTTCTGCCTCAGGACCTCTGACACATTGTCCCCATATTCTCCCAATTTTTCACCTAGATGGCTCCATTTCTGCCTGTCTTGTCTAAAATTCATGATCTTTGATTATCCTATCTTAACAAAAGCATTCTGTTCTTTCAGTACCTCAGCACTGGGCACAGTTTGAAATTATGTATTTGTTTAGTTGTTAAACATGTATCTTCCCCCATAAAACTTAGTCTCTGAGGGCAGTAATTAGGTCTGTTTTTATTTACTACTTTCTAAAAGCCCACTGCATAGTGTTAGGCACACAGACATACTCAATAAATACTTAAACAAATGAACAACAGAGTCAACAGCTATTGACTTATGTAAGATAGGAAAGTTATTTAAGACAGGAAAAGCTTTTTTTTTTTTTTTTTAAGATTTTATTTATTAATTCGACAGAGAGAGATCACAAGTAGGCAGAGAGGCAGGCAGAGAGAGAGGAGGAAGCAGGCTCCCTGCTGAGCAGAGAGCCCGATGCGGGGCTCCGATTCCAGGACTCTGAGATCATGACCCGAGCCGAAGGCAGAGGCCCTAACCCACTGAGCCACCCAGGCACCCCAGGAAAAGTTTTTTTAAGAAATAAATTGTTGCGGCGCCTGGGTGGCATCTGCCTTTAGCTCAGGTCATGATCTCCAGGTCCTGGGATTGAGCCCCACATCAGGTCCCAATACAGCGGGGAGTCTGCTTCTCCCTCTGCCTCTCTCCCCTGCTTGTGCTCAATCTCTCTCTCTCAAATGAATAAAAATCTTTTTTTTTTTTAAAGAAATAAACTGTTTATTATCTGTCTCTTCAAAGGGAGTATGATTATCTGATGACTTATGCTCCTAAATGAGATAAATTTAAGACTTCCTATTTTTAGATATATGAAGAAGCTTTAATAACATAGGAAGAAACAAACTGGACTAAAAACCTAAAGCACTAATTTGTACTTTATCAGAGCTTTTGGACTTGGTAGCATCCACAAAAGTAAAATCCAGTATTTCTTCCCTAAGGATTACTCCACCAGCACAGAAAGACTACAAAACCTTCCATCTCAAAAATAGCCCTTTTACCTCTAGTCACCTCTCCATTTCTCCTCCCTTCCTAGTAAAACTCCTCTAGGGTCACTTGTCTCTGTATCTAGTATTTTCACTTTCTCCCTTCTTGTTTTCCAATGAGCCTACAGCATGGGGCCCGCATACCCTATCCCAGAAGAAGGACTCTCCTCAAATCACTAACAGATTTAACAGCAGCCATAAAGAGGCTGGAAGGAAACAGTCCACAGGATGTGACCTCTAATTATAGAAAAACATAATTAATCTAAATTACTGGGAAATGGAGCTTTTTATAAGTCCAGTATATTAATGTCAAGAATATGTTAAACATTTCTTTAAACACCAAATGACCAATATTCCTCTACATATTTACAAACAAGTTATTCAAATTTTAAATCAAACTTAAGAATTTGGTATATTAAATTTCCCCAAATATTTATCTTTGTCAAGGTTTGAATCCTAAGCAAACTCTAAGTAAAGAGGTCTTAGAAACAGAGAGAGGACTTCAGAGAGAAAAGGCAGTGACTGGTACGATGAAATTACTCTAAGTGTAATGTTTACAACATTTCCCCCAGTGTATCTCAAAAAAATGTTCAAATTGGGATGTGGGATGCGAGAAGCACTGGCAAGTGCAAGCTGTATACGTGAGGAAGCAGCTGCCGCGCAGGCAAATGTTTGTTTAGATGTGGAGATCCTTGTGTCAACCAGAATGGAACGTGCCACACTATTCTGTAGTGAGAAGACACTCTGGAGTAGAGAAACCATTCATACCTGAAGATTTTCCAGCATCATTTTATCCAGAGCTTGAATGAAGTCCTCATCTTCCACACAAGGTACGTGCTTAAGTCCACCTCCCTTAATCATTACCTCCTTAATAAAACAAAATAAGAAACCAGACCACAAATTTTAAGATCATGTTTTGGATGGCAGAGTCTTTTGTATTGATAAGTTGGTTCAACATAACTCAAAGAATGAGTGAGTAAAGTATGTTAACATTACTTCATGTTAAAAAAAAAATGTTAATATAGTAAAGTATTTAGGAAAACAAACTGAAAATGATTTTCCAAAGGAATATTTTTCAATAATCACAAGAAACACAACTTCAGTGGCTAAAACTGAAATAATAAAGAGAATGTGGCATGATTTCAAAAGCCAATTTTCAGCCATACATACAGTATTTTCTTCATCAGTTTCATTTTCTTTATTGGAGTCTGTAAGGTAATCAGTATTCTCTTCCTCTTCCTCCTCACCTTCATCATCATCATTATCAGAACCCTCCTGAAATTATTTAACATTAGAAGATTAAAACATTTTGAAAAGGATCTCTATTTTAAATGCCTTAAGATTTAAAAATTTCTGTATAATTGTTCATTATTCTCAAGTTCCAGCCTTTTATGTAGTCTGCCTACAACTCAGAGCAAAGTCAGCTGGCATTAGCTGAAAACTAATGCACACCAGTAGCTGAAAACCCATCTCACGATCTTCCACTGATCTAGTAACACAAAGATCCTTTGTAGAAATTCTTCCTTGCACTGCAGAAGGAATGAGCTTCCTGAACCTTTTATATATTTCTCCTCCCTGACTATTTTGAGACTGAATTTCTCACAGTAGTTCTTTAATACCCATCCAACTCTAAAAGTCAATAAGTAGTTCAAATTTAACATGGTTAGCAGTTGAAATCAAGAACACTAAAATTTATAAAGCATTACAGTGTATCAAGCACCTCAGCTTGGAAGGTGTGCGGACATACCTCATTCTGTTTGCTCTATTAAATTCTGAAGAAGGCAGGATAAGCTTTCATGTCCCCATTTTTATACAGGACAAAAGCAACGCTTGGGTAAGTTAATTGACCTGCCCAAGGGCACACTTGCTTATTAAGCAGAGGAGGTAGACATTCTGATCCCCACACTTCTCCCCATCCTCTCCTGTCAATGTCCCCACCTCCTCTTCTATCAGCCAAATTTCCTTTTCAAACAGAAGACTGGAAATAACCTCAGTGATTCTGTACAAGGACACACACAAAAAAAGCACAGTTGCACCATATCTGTGTATTCTTCCATTCCCAAAAACAAAATTCAGTCTCACTCAGTTCTATAAGTTTAAAAAAAAGACTACACTAAATCCAGCTGCTTCTCATTATGCTGAGAAATAATGTGAATGAAAAATAATACCTAAGAAAAAAATGAATTATTTAAATGTGTCACAACCTTTTCAGTATACATAACAATTAATTCCAAAAATCCAAAGAATGTATTATAATTTACTATACAGAGATTTTTAGCGCTTCTAAAATGGAAATATTTTGGGAATATAAGAAATGCATTTACTTTTTTCAAATGTATTAACTTTTTTTTTTTTTGAGAGAAAGCAAGTGAGAGAGAGAGCATGAGCTGGGACAGGGGGAGGGGCAAAGGGAGAGGGAGAAGCAGGCTCTCTGCTGAGCAGGGAGACCAACGTGATCTGGGTCAGGATCAGGATCTGGATCAGGGAGCTTGATCCCAGTACCTTACGACCATGACCTGGGCCACAGGCAGACACTCAATGGAATGAGCCACCCAGGTGCCCCGAAATGTATTAACTTTTTTAAACATAAGTCTGTAATTCAAAATCAAATTTGCAAGAGATGTTAAATTTGCTTGAAAAAAGTAATCATTTCTTAACACTTAAAAAATACTTCTTATTCAAAAATTAAGCTAAATTAAACCGCATAAACTTTTCCTCCTTCCTCCTTTTCCTCCTTACCCTTTATTTTTACATTTTATTTTTACTCAGGCAAAATAAAATAGATTAACTTTTTTTTTTAAAGATTTTATTTATTTATTTGACAGATAGATCACAAGCAGGCAGAGAGAGAGAGAGAGAGAGAGAGAGAGGAGGAAGCAGGCTCCCCGCTGAGCAGAGAGCCCGATGTGGGGCTCGATCCCAGGACCCTGGGATCATGACCTGAGCCGAAGGCAGAGGCTTTAACCCACTGAGCCACCCAGGTGCCCCAAAAGAGGATTAACTTTTGGGGCGCCTGGGTGGCTCAGTGGATTAAGCCTGCCTTCGGCTCAGGTCATGATCTCAGGGTCCTGGGATCGAGCCCCGCCTCGGGCTCCTTGCTCAGTGGGGAGCCTGCTTCTCTCTCTGCCTCTGCCTGTCTCTCTGCCTGCTTGTGCTCTCTCTCTCTCTCTCTCTCTCTGTCAAATAAATAAATAAATAAAATCTTTAAAAAAAAATAGATTAACTTTTGAAACTGAAATGCTGAACAAGAATTCCACTATCCTAATGCCTATTATACATAATAATCTGTGAGATCTGGAAGTGAATGGACCACAAAAGCTGGCTAAGGAAAGCAGGAGGGGCAGCAGAGCACAAGTCACACTGTCTGAATTCAAATACTGGCTCAGCACTTAGTGAGATCTTGGGCAAATTAAACTACCTGTGCCTTATCTTCTCACCTACCTCACACCACGGTATGAGAAATGGTAATATAAATATTATTACTACTATAATGATAAATTAAATCTTGTACTTACTGCTAAATTATATAAATGCTATACTACAGAAAATTAGAATTTTAGCAGAACATTTACTTCATCTTTACTGTTATCTTTAATTTACACAGCTGATATTCAGGAGGAAATATTCTGGCTATTTGGTGCTAGGAATAACTCTGAAAGGCCATATGGAGCCAAGGACCAAGCTGAGGACCAAGAAGAATAAAAGAGCACAATTTGTCTGAAGAGTACACTGTAGCCCTTTCTCAGCAGAAGTTGTAGAATATCTCACACTGCTCTTATGAATGAACCTATTTTCTCTCTTTAAAATGTTTTCCCTGAGCACCTGGGGGGCTCAGTTGGTTAATCTACTGCCTTCGGCTCAGGTCGTGGTCTTGGAGTCCGGGGATGGAGTCCGGGGATGGCTCCCAGCTCCATGGGGAGTCTGCTTCTCCCTCTGACCTTCTCCCCTTTCATGCTCTCACTCTCACTCTCTCAAATAAATAAAATCTCTTAAAAAATAAAATAAAATAAAATGTTTTCCTTATACTTGGAGAGCAGCCATGGGAAAGGGTGGTCTTGAGAAGGAGACAAGGCTCATGCAATGCCAACTGAACACTGTGTTTTTCTCCTTAGCAAACACACGTGTATCATGTATGATATTTACAACTGCAACTGGAAAAGTAAACAATGGTGAAAAATTATACAACTTTCAAAGTTATAGTTTACTTTTTAAAAAGAGAAAATACATCCCAACTCTTCAGATGAGAAATATAGGAAAATGAGTCACTTTTCAATGACACACCTACTAAGGATGTTTAATTTTTTAGATTCTCTTTATCTAATTAGTGCAGCAGCAAAATCTACTCCAAAAAAATGTTCCTACTAAAAAAATGTCTTATGATCTTCTGGTCAATACTATGATTTTCTTACTTAAAAAGAAAAAAAAACAAAAAACAAACACCTTAATTCCAGGGGTTTTATAACAGACATATACTACTAGTTACAGTTCCTATAATAAAACTAAGGAGGAGATCTTATTTTATAAATTAAAGAAAATTTTGGCTCAAATAATCAAGATACTCTTGTACAGATGTACCTATTGGCTATAAACAAAAGTCATCACCTCTTCTTCTGGTTCATTTACTTCACTTTCATTTCCAGATTGTTCTTCTGTTTCAGCTCCTCCTTCTTCTTCTTCTTCATCCTCTTCAAGGTTTTCTCCTTCTGTCATGGAATCTTTTGAATCTTTGTCATTTACTAGGCCTTGAAATGAGGAGAAAGTGGAATAAAAAACAAAAAGGAGTAAATTTTCAATATTATACCACTTAATTTTTAAGTGAGATAATTTAACAGCCATTTTCTCAGAATACAATTTAAAGAATACAATTTAAAATTTAAAATTATTTGAGAAACATTTTACAAACTACAGAGACCTTCATTTCAACAAAAAAGCATTAACACATTATATATATGTCTATCTATACGCATATATAAACACATACATATTTTTTTCTTTCAGCTTCTGTTTATCTCCATCTCAGAACACAAAACATATAAAATGCAGCCTTAACCATATAAGCATATAAAATGCAGCCTTAACCATGTAAGATGAAGCCTCAGCCACACTTTTTATCATGTGACATTTTAGAATACCTCCAACATCAAAGATATAAAATTAAGTTGCCTTCATAGAGAAATCATTTGGCTATCAATCTGAATGTCGGCACATTAAGACTGAGGGAAGGAGGCAAAGTTGTATCACCAAAGGGCTTAATTTTTTTCTTCAATATTGGCATTCTCCTCCTCAGAGAATCCTGGCTTGAATTTGCTTCCACAGCTCAAGGCCTAGTCAATTCTTAATTAACATTTGAATTCCAAACCACTCTACTTGCAAGATGCCTCATCTGATCTGACTTTCTGCTGCTCTCTCGTGAGCCTTCTCTGATAGCTGGGCCTCTTTGTCACAAATCATACTATCTTGGACTCCTGCTCATCTGATACTCTTCTCAATAGAGAATATCCTTCAAAGTACACTTTCAAGTCCTTCCTGTACATTCCCTAAGTTCAGTCTAAATTTTATGCTTTCTGCATAAATTCAATGAGTACCTCAACCTATTACTCTTCCTACTTGCTCCTAAAGCACTTGAATTTCTCATAGCACTTTACATTTAAGGATACACCATTACAACGTTTTTTTTTTCTAATGATTTCATAACCGTTATATCAGATTATAAGGCCCTTGAAGACAAAGAATTGTTTTATATATCCAAAACTTATCATAGGCCATATATTGATAAATACACACTAGGTGTTTAGTAAATAATTATTTATTCAGACTCTTAGATGATTAGAGCAGAAAGAAACTTTAGCAATCATATAATGATTTAACTCTTTCATTTTATGAGGAATACTGAAGTCCAAAGAATTTGAATAACCTATCCAATAGGAGTAAAAAATTATTCCAGTGTCTTAAGTTCAAGAAATTAACCAAGAAGTAACAAAAACATGAAAGTACAAGGTGATTAAGGTAGGTAACTGAAGTTTTAAAATTTAAAAAATTAATACTGAGAAAAGAAGTTGTTGCTTCAGAATGAGAATCCATTAACTTAAAATTTCTGTCACTTATTAGTTTTCAAACACAAATACAGATTTTATACAGAAACATTTTATTTATTTACTTATTTATATACAGGCACTTTAAGAGCAAAATATTAGACTGTTATTTAAGCTATCAAAGTCAAAAAATTTAGTCACAACTGTCTACATCTAAACTTTCTGAGTAAAAAATATCACAGTGCTGATAAACTCACATAGCACAAGCTGTCCTTACACCTTTTTTCTATCCACCTAAAAAAACATGCATAGTGGGAAGAACTATAATGTAGAAGTTGCTTTGTTCTGACAGTCTAATTTGTAAGGAAAATACATACTATTTCTAACACATTTTCATTTGCATTGCAGGATATTTTCAAAAACAATTTATAAATATATTTTGCATTTGCTAAACAGTATAATAACTATCTAGCTGTTGATCCCTAGAACACTGTCAATCTTAAACAATGGAGATAAAAATGTACACCCACAGGATATAGGGTTAACAAAATACAAACAATAAAATGCTTCTTGGTGCCTCAGTTCTCCTGCTCATAACAGAGAGAGTAATAACACTTCCATTCAGACTGCTTTAAATTTTATTTTTCTGCTTATGAGAGATGTTGAGCATTTTCTCCCATACTTAATATGTCAGAGAGAGCAGTCTTTGAATTCTGGTTTGGCAGGTTAAACCAGCGTTTTAACTAACATTACCTTCCTGTGTCACCCTGGCATCAGACAGTACTCAATAAAAACACCAATTACCCCCCCACAACATGTGATTATGTCATGTTCATTTATCTATTGGGGTATTCTATTTTATTACCAATTTGTCTTTGCTCTTTTTGTAAGTGAAAGTAACCTGGCATGGAGACTATTTTCACTTTGATTTTATTTTTGTACTGTATAAAAGCTTTAAACACCCCAATCTGTTGCCATGTATATGCTTTCTTCTACTGTTTTAGAATTTGGGGAAATTAACACCTCTTCAAATATTTGATAATCAGATCTATTTTTAAAAATTAATAGTTTAAAAAAAAAAAAAGATTTTGTTAGAGAGTGAGAGAGAAGAGAGCACGCACAAGCAGGGGGAGCAGCAGGTAGAGGGAGAAGCAGGCTCCCTGCTAAGCAAGGAGCCCAATGTGGGACTCAAGCAAGGAGCCCAATGCGGGACCTCAGTCCCAGGACCATGACCTGAGTCAAAGGCAGATGCTTAACTGAGCCACCCAGGTGTCCCTAAAAATATTTAACTCCATAATCCATCTGCAGTTTGATAGGATGTGGCTCTGTATCAATTTTCCTCCAAAATGCTGACCTGCTGCCCTTATCCTATTTTTAAGATTCCTAGTTCATTATATATAAATTATTTTGTATTTAATTGGGGGGTGCTTCTAGGCCTTTTATTCTGTTCTACTGATTTTATTACTAATTCGTGAAATACACTGTTGGCTTTATAATTTATTCATGTGGCTTCTTTCTTTTTCACTTCCATTTCCCTCATTTCTGTTCCTTATACGATGATATAATCTAGAAGTTCTAAAACGAGATTAAATTATATTGCCTATAACCATTTTGGTTTTGTTCTTAAATTTAAAGAGAATGTTTTAGCCAGTAATTCTAAGTCTATACTGAGAACACCAAGATACACAGAAATATCACACAAAAATGTTATTTATAGTAATGTAAAACTGGAAATAACCTAAGTGCCAAACAATAGGTTTAAATAAATTATGGCATATTCATACAAAGGAATACAGCCAATTAAGAATTAGAAAAATATTTCATATCAGGAAGAAATTTCATAATATATTAGGTAGAAAAAATCTAGTTATAAAACTGCAAACATGAAAAAATTTTAAAGGACGAGAACATATACCAAAAAATGTCAACACGTGATTATTCTTGTGTATGGAACATGATTTTTGTTTTCTTGGTATTTTTCTCATTTTTTGCCACAAACATTACTTTTTTTTTTTTTTTAAGATGTATTTATTTATTTTAGAGAAAGAGAAAGTGAGTGGAGGGGCAGAGGGAGAGAGAGTGAATCCTCAAGCAGACTCTGTGCTGAGTGCAGAGCCTGATGTGAGGCACAATCCCACAACCCTGAGAGTACGACCTAAGCCAAAATCGAGTCAGCCATTTAAATGATGGAGCCACCCAGGTGCTCCAAACAAGTACTACTTTGAATAATATAAAAATGACTTTCAAAATAAAAAGGAACTTTGTAGCTCTTTAGCATTGGGCTATTACAAAGTTAAAATAATAATGAATTTACAAAGTACTTGAAAACAAACAAAAAAAACTACCAAAGGCAAGATATGGAAATAGAGTAATAGAAACTGTTCCTGTACATCTTCTTCCTGATACTTAGATTCTAAAACAGGAGGAAAATGGGACAACTTGAGAGCATACTGATTCTGGTTGCCATCATCTTTAGAGTTTGATCCACAAATGGTGGCCTGTGTTTTCCTTCCCATATTCTAAACAAGAACAGACCCTTCAAAAGAAGCCTGAGGTCCTTTAACTTAACCCTTTGCTCTATAAAAAGGATAAAATACACCATACCCTTTACTGCTACCAAACCAGGTGTCAAACTTGTGTTACCTGATGCTCACTACACAGAATGTACCATCTGTAAAAGTTTTTGGGAAACAAGGCTAAGACTTAACTATATCAAAGCATCTGAAGTAGGGGCGCCTGGGTGGCTGTCTGTTAAGCCTCTGCCCTTAATCTCAGGTCATAATCTCAGGGTCCTGGGACTTAGCCCTGTGTTGGGCCCTCTGCTCAGCAGCAGCCCTTCCCCCACCTTCTCATGCTCTCTCTCAAATAAATAAATAAAATCTTTAAAATAAAAAATTCTTAAAAAGCATTTGAAGTAAATGAAATAATCAAGAGAAGTGAGTACTCTGCCTGAAATGATCATTTTATACAACTGGAAATCTGAAAAGGAAAAAAAGGGTAGTTAACTGGGGACAAAGTTCAAAGAACAAAGGAATCACATATGCCCTTCTGGGTGGACTGGTAGAAAAGTGAACAGCTGCACAATCAGTAGCACCTTTAAAAATACTGCTCAAATAGATAACAGCAATCATATTCTCCAGAGGATGGACCCTTGGAGAAAGAAATTAAAATGCCGGATATAATATGAAAAAAATAGTTTTAGAGGAAAAAAGTCACAAATACTTCTGCCATGAAAGGAAGTACTTTAGATATGCAACATAGTAAATTTATGCAGTTAGCATAAATGGTGAAGCTTAAGGATCCCCTAATGACAGACATATGGGTACCAAGTGCTGGCAGGAAATAAAACATTAGCTTAAAGCCTAAAAATGTGTCACTTTGAAATGACTACAATAAAACATGCTAACATGCTAAGAACTATTAGCAAGCAAACCGGACTGGTAAGGCTGCATCTCATTCCAGTTATTTCCGCTGATAAAGTTAGTCAGCTCCTAGTCCCTTGTGGGAGCTGTTCAAGAGCTAACTCTTCTTCAAGAACAGTCTCAGAAGAATGTTGAGAAAGTAAACAGACCAATTGTCCTATAGCACATAGTTCTCACATTTTCTCTAGTCCTAAGAAATAGAGATTACTCTCCCAAGTAATGTCTGAAATTCCACAAGGTAGTTCCAAAACTTCTGATACTCCCCCCTACAGTGTCTGCCTGCACTACGTTAGAAGATAATGCTTGTTTAAAATATATACTGTATATGTAAGAGATGCTTTCATCCAAAGTGTTTTCTATTAACAGTAAAAATTCTACTAATTAAGAGAGGCTGACAGGAAGTGTTTTTCCATCACTATCCTTTCCTTACATGACTATTCTCCTCCAAATTGGGATTATTTAATGAAATCAAGAAGTATGTCACCCAGGTCTTACCTAACACTATTATACAACACTCAACACTGAAAACAGAAAGTATACAAAAGCAAATACTGACAACAATATAAAGCAAATTCTAGAAACAATCTGCCAAACATCATCTTCATTTTCTCTCTGTAATTAATTGCTTACCTAGTTTTATTAAGAATTCTCGTTCCAAGTCGTGTACCTGCCTGATGGATTCTTCCAGAGAGTTACAGAGTTTGATCTTTGGTCTTAGCAGTTCTAATGTATCACTGATCATGTAATCTATGTCAATAGGAAATGGATGGTCTTTTGTCCAAACCTCCAAACTTTTCTTCCACCAAACATAACGCTGATAACAAATGAAAAATAAGTTTAGCTATAGGAAATTAAAGAACAAAAATATTTTAAAAATAATAATCTATATTGTGATATTACCTAGTTAAAATAACTAAGCTAAAGAGTTGTACAAAACACCTACCATTTTTATTAATGGTCAACAGTAATAACCCTAATCCACTTTCTAAGCCATTTGGTGATTTCAATTTTTTTTTTTTTATTACAACTGTCAAAAATCCTTTTTAAAAAAAAAATTTTAAAAAAATCCTTTTTAAAGGCAAGGAAAAATCATAAATAAAATATCAAATAAATTTCTAGGTACTGAAACAAGGCAGAAACCCCACTCCCAAACCCCAAATAGGGTTTAAATATTTATTTTACAAAACAAAAAAAACCAAATTCAAAGCCATAGTTTTGATACATTTTTATTATTTTCTCTCTGCTACTTGCTTTGATTTTTAAGCAAGTCAATTAAAGTATCTGAAGATACAAAAAAAAAAAGTATCTGAAGATAACAGTTTTTGAAACATATAAAAACCATTAATCCACAAGTATTTATTGGACAGCTACTGTGTCATATATGGTGCTGTTCAGAGATCTTCCCTCGCTTCTCCTAGCCTGATTCCTTCATTCTATTTTCTACTTTGTAATTTGTAAATTTAACTAAAAAGCACAACCCAAGAATTTGCTTATATATAAAAGGGTATCCTTCTGGGTGCTTTCTCCTCTCCAATTTGTTCTAGGTCCTTGCTACTGACATGAGGGCTTCAACTGGGAGCTTGTTAGAAATGCAGACTCTTGGGCCCCCACCACAGAGCAAATGAATCACAATCTGCATTTTAAAAGTATCTCCAGGTGGCGCATATGTACATTAAAGTTTAGAAGCACCACTGCGAAGGTCCTTTCCATCTGGCCTTCCCATACTTAACTGTACATGTACATTTTCTGACCTAGAACACACTGCCCTCATCCCCCAGGCCTCACTCACTCCTTACTCCCAATTCCCTAGGTATATATCCTGCTACACATTTCTGCTTGTTACTCAAAAACTACTTTTGTCTCTTTCTGCTCCTGGATAGTTCTGAGTGGCTTTTTTCTCTCAGTCTGGGATTTCAGAGTGAATGCAAATAAGGACACTCTTCTGAAAGAAAGTTTACTTTTGATGCTGAGAGTTACAAGTGACATTTTGCCACAAACGTTTGGTTTCGATACAGTCTCCAACGTAAGATAGTCCTTGCATATAACCAGCAATCTGACTCTCAAATCTGTAGAATTTCCCTCCCCATTTTCTTCTTATCAAGTCAGAAAACAAGCGAATAACAAGGTGTCCTCTACTGCATAGGTACAGCGACAGAACAAAGTTATCTGCTCTTCCCCCAGAGCATTTGCCCTCATTTAACAGCAGCCACTATGTGGATGTATTTCTGATACTTCAAAAGTCATAATTTTAAATGTATTTTCTTCACCAAAATAAGTGAAGAAAACACTAACAAGAGATTATATCGTTAGAATGATCATATATAACTGAATGGTGCTTTTGGTACTTTATTTTAGTAACACCTGGAAAATTCAATAGTGAGCAGTTAAACCTAAACCTAAGTTAACTTTTGGAACACCAACCTTATAAAAGTTGTAGAACTGTCTCCATACTTGTTTCTGAATTTAATTTATATTATACTTAGTCTAAATTTTAAGTTTATATAATTAACTGATAGATATTAAGATAGAGAAGCACAACCCAAGAATTTACCATGAATGAACAAATACTTTTTCCTGTGTTAAGAGCATATTTTCCCAAAAATGATAGAAAAAAGTGAAATCATTTAGAAACTAGAATTTTAGATGTAAAATCAGAACACAGATGAGCTGAAAATGTTATCAGACATACAAAAAGTCATAAATTATCATACTAAAACAATAATCCATAAATTAAACCAAATTTATAAACCATACCAAAATAATTCCCCAATGATCATTGTTAATCATAAAAGCAACAATGCAAATAGAATGTTTATATAGTAGAAATCTTTTCATCATATATGTTTAATTTCTAAAACATCCTTGCAGGAAGAAAAAAATCTAATCTAATGATGAACACATCTTATATGTGATATATGAATGCTGTGTTTCTTCTCTAATATTTCTGTAACACAAGCAACGCATTAAATGATGCCAAACTGAGTATTTAGTTTACATACCTGAAAGTATACAAGGAAGCAATCAAGTTTTCGTTTACTGGAACCTCTGTCAAAGTACTGGCCGCAGGTATCCAAAATAGTGCACACTAGTCTAATTCTGAAAAGGTGTTCAGGAGGATCTAGCGAACTTGGAGAGCCATCTGGGTTAACACCAAATGAAGTAAAAGAATAAAGAGTTCTAAAAATAACAGCTGATTCCACCATTCGATAATTATAAAGTTCCCCTAAGAACTTGGCACTGCTGATACGTCTCTGATTAAATTTAGGCTGGTTAACCTAAAGGGAAAAAAACACAGATTTCCATTAAAGAACAGTAATGTGTTGATAAGAGGTAAAATTCTCCTTTGTTACTTGATAATACCAATTACTGAAAGAACACTTAACAGAGGGGGAAAAAAATGGGTTCTTCCCTTATTTTCTAGTAAAGTGATCACTTCTGCATATCCTTTTTAAGAAATGGCTATCTTTAAAATGTTTTACTAAAAAGAACAAGTTAAATATTAAAATTTAGTATTATCATTAACTAAGTTGATGATACAGTTAAGATGTAATTCTCCCTATCGGTCCCTCCATAACTTATTTTTCTGTAATCCATGAATTAAGGAAATGAGCCAACAGAAAGAGGAAACAGTATATAGAAATTCTTACCAAAAGATTACCAATTCACCTAATTAAGAGATTTATAGTTTCCTAAAACCTGAGTTCTATTGCCCTAGAAATAATTAAAATCTATTATACTCTTCCAAAATAAGCCTAACTGAACTTGAGAAAAAGAAGCAAAAAACTCTCCGGCACTAGCCTGAAAGATGACTAGGAAATCTGAGACAACAGTAACTTTAAAGAAACAGTAAATTGACATCACAAGGGGAAAGAAAGGTTTCCAAATTACTCTTTTTAATAATTGGATTTAAAAGTTGTTTAAATTCTCCACAAACTCCAATTTGATGACTTCAAGGAAAGTCCTTATTACCTCCATTCCTAATCGAATATCTTCTAAAACTCCATCCACAACATGGATTCCAACATCTTCTTGGTAGAGGACCAATCCTGCTAAGAGGTTGGCTACACAATGAATACTATTATATTTCACATTCCAGATATTTATCATACAACAAATAACATAGTCTTTCACTTCTTGGTCCTGCCAGGGCAACTTTCGCATCTGTCTCAAAACCTACACGGAGAGAATTTTGTTTCAATTACTAAGATAAGTACATAATACTCCAATATACCCAATAATATAAATATTTTGATTCTGCAGTCATTTAACTTTTGAAATAAAAAATACTTTAGAGATCCTCTGCCAGCTTCTTAACTTTAGAGACAGGAAAAGTGAAATATTTTTAATTATTGGCAAAATTTATTCACATTTGCCTTACATCTCTTCATGATGCCCCTAAACTTCCTAGAGTTTCCAGATCTTCAATAAGGCTAATAGTATATACCCATAATACCAGTCACTACAAACACATACCCAAGGTTTACCAAAAATAATATTTTCTTTCGCATATCACTAATGTAAATAATCTCAGGTACTTTTTGTAAATCAAAAATTTCCAGTAAATAAATAAACCCAAGATCAGTGGGTTAAAAGATCACTTGATATGGAGGATACGATATTATACAAAATTAACATTATACAGCATCCTGTTTCCTCAAGTGTAAAGAGGGATAGTAACAGGACTTACTCCACAGTCTATTGTTAAGGATTAGACAAGTTAAAATATGTGAGGCACATAGAACTGTCTGACTCGTTATAAGTACGACAAAAAAGTCAGCCATTACTATTTCAAAAACTCTACTGGTAATGAGATGGTGAGCAGAGCTCTACCTATAATCAAGTTCCTCCCATTTTTACAAAGAAAAAGTAAAAAAAAAGATACTATTAGCAGACTGCAAAGCACTCTTTTCATCTCTATAGCCACCACCCATCTTTTTTTTTTTTTTTTTTTAAAGATTTTATTTATTTGAGAGAGAGAGAAAGAGAAGCAGCAGCAGGGAGAGGCAGAGGGAGAAGAGAAGCAGACTCCCCACTGAGCAGGGAGCACAATGTGGGACTTGATTCCAGAACCCTGGGATCATGACCTGAGCTGAAGGCAGATGCTTAACCAACTGAGCCATTCAGGCACTGTAGCCACCATCCATCTTTCAAGCACTTAATATGTTCTCAAATTAGCTTCAGTGGAAATATTAATGTTGTCTCAACCACAGAGCAACCTATATTTTTAAACTTATAGCTAATTCTAAAATAGCTTTCAAATTGCTTGCTGTTTAAAACAACTACTATCTGTGATTCTCTGAAAGTTGAGTCCAATTTCCAAAGTCACATGATCATTGCTCATTACCCGTGTATAATGCCATGTATTACTGCACACCTTTTCTTCTCCCCACAGGTTTTCTCTGTGCAACAGCTTATCTGTTTCACTTTTTTTTTTCCTAAAGAGGAAAAAGGTTCTACAATGTGTTGTTTCAATTTCAAGAGTTAACCATGAAATGTTCTGTTCAACATATCCTACTTGAAAGTGAAGTTTCTAACAAGGTAACTACAATAATTATGAAAACAGGTCAGCATTTTTTAACCTTTCTGGAAAATGACCAAAATTATGAAATTTCGGAGGGCCATGGACCTACTAAAGCCCACTCAAGTTTAGGATCCCCTGTACTGAAGCAAAATATATATATATATTTTTTAAAGATTTTATTTATTTATTTGTCAGGGAGAGAGAGAGAGAGAGAGCGAGCACAGGCATACAGAGTGGCAGGCAGAGGCAGAGGGAGAAGCAGGCTCCCCACAGAACAAGGAGCCCGATGTGGGACTCGATCCCAGGACGCCGGGATCATGACCTGAGCTGAAGGCAGCTGCTTAACCAACTGAGCCACCCAGGCGTCCCCTGAAGCAGAATATTAAAAGTCAAATTCATTACAGAATATCAGAGACAAAGTAGTAATTTCAAATATAAACAGTACCAAAATTAAAATTAGAATAATTACTTCAGAGTAAGAGTCACAAAAGGAAAACAAAACATATGTCCTGTATCTTATGTTCATCATATGACTTTCACTTTAGGATGACTTGTATAGAAGCAGTCACAATTCAACTTGTGATCTAATCTTAACTCTCCTAAACTTCACTGCTGAAACTTTAACAGCTCTGCTTCCATTTCTCCAGTTACAGAATATGAATAATGCAAGCTGCTGACATTCCTTATCGGTAATTTGTCGAACACTGAAGCAATTTATAAACAAGCTGATGTGGAGAAATTGAAATATATGTCCTGGACCGAAACATTTTAGTACACAGGCTAGTAGCCAACTGCACTGTTCTTAATACTACAATCACTAGAATGAAAAAGAATTAATTCTGCTGAATATTGTATCATCTTAGCACCACTGCAAATCTCAAATTGACTATTACTTTATGATTTCAACAGGATTTACCTTCTCAGTGGTAACTTTGGAGAGATCCTTGTACAAAAGTTTCCGGACATATTCCTGGAGAGGAGGACGTTTCTTTTTCACTGTTTTTTCAGCTGGAGGTGGGTTGCAGTAGTAATATGCATTCTCCACCATTGTAACATATCTTGCGTCGAGGTGCATTGCTTGTTTCTTTCTCATCATTTGCTCCTAAAATAAAAATGTCTAAATCAAAATACTTTCACTCTAATGTTTATTCCTAACCAAATTTCTATTCTCAGTGATAGGATTTCAGGATAAAGAACTAGAAAAGAAAACAAACAAACAAACAAAAAAAAACGCAACAACCACTAGGTATTTCTAAGAATGTACTAGCACACTATTATACTAAAATCATGTTTTTACAAATAACATGGAGGACATGGGGAGATGGAGAGGAGAAGGGAGCTGAGGGAAATTGAAAGGGGAGGTGAACCATGAGAGACTATGGACTCTGAAAAACAATCTGAGGGTTTTGAAGGGGCGGGGGGTGGGAGGTTGGGGGAACCAGGTGGTGGGTATTGGAGAGGGCACGGATTGCATGGAGCACTGGGTGTGATGCAAAAACAATGAATACTGTTACGCTGAAAATAAATTAACAAATTTTTAAAAAATCATGTTTTTAGAACAAATTAGTCCATGACTACTTGGTGTTAGGCCTTAGGCTCTGACACAGCTCTACAAACAAGAAAACTAAAAGCACCCCAGGTTTATAAACTTGTCCACAGATCTGAGCATCAACCCAAGAGGTGTTGATTCAAAACACATCTAGTCAACCAGTGATAAAAGCTCGTGGCTTTTGCTGTAAGAGGGGAAAAGATCCACTGAGCCAATCCAATATCGCCCATACCACCATGACTAGTAAATGTTTTTCCTAGCAAAAATAGAGGATTCAAATATTGTAAATAAATACAAGACATTAAAAGCTAGCTCTATCACATTTTTATATATACAGTCTCTTTTAACCTTAAGAGCCTGAGCCAAAAGAACAAGAGCTTTTTCCTTGTTAGGATAAAAATTTGAACTTGTAATGACGTTTAAGTCGTTAATGTGATACAAGCCTACAGAAAATTTGGAAATCAATTCTGTTTGATGGCCTCCACATTAATATTTTTGTTTATTAGAAATAAATTCTGTTTCTTCATATTAAATATTATTGGCAGAGAGTATTCAAGCTCACAACTGGATTCTAAAAAAACTAAGTTATCTAAAGAAAATGATATAATCAAGACTTTTATAACAGTAACACTAATGTAATGACAGTCTATGCCCAGGGATTCCTAAACCTGAGCTCTTTTTAACACTAACACCAATATTCCCTCTGCCATCACACTTCCCATCCTCCCGAGTCTGCAAGGGAATGCATGGATATTATCCATAAGCATAAGAACTTAATTGCTTAATAAACCTGATGGCCATTTCAGCATCCTAGGTAGCTTAAGAAATAGCTTCTACCCCAAGTTAATTTTTCAAGCTTATAGTTTTTAATTTTTAAATTAAATTTTATATTTTTAAGCTTACAATTTATATGCTTATGGCACATAAACAACAGCTTCTTTAAACATTCAAAAACATCCATAAAAAACGGCTCTAACACAACAGTATCACCAGTACTTGCTCATTTGCATCATTTATCAAAAGGTATTTGGGGTTGAACTTCATCCTCCTTTACCATACAGTAAACTCACTGGCAGACAAGTGAGGAAAATTCCTACAACTCTCCTGGAATGGCCACAGCACATAAATATGGGAGGTTCTAGTTTAGGCAGAAATGTTTCCTTTTATATAGCAGACCATGATCATAGGCACTGGTCAGTATTTCTAACCCCTAAGTAAATCAAGAACCTCAAGCTCTTGCTAGGACCCTCAAGCCCTTACCAAAAGTACACTGGTCCTCAGGTGTGATTCTGGTGATCTGAAAAGAAATCTTCCACAGGTTTCTAGTAGAGTACATGCCATTTCAATATGGTGATGGGAAAAGTCTGATAGAAGCATCTGTAACAACAATGATGATGAGAAAACACAAAAGACAACACTTCAATCCTGTTAAAGAAAATACAGATCTAATGTGTATAACAACTTCAGAAATGTCAAGTGTGAAAAACAAAAGCTAGTCTACTTTGGCTTAACAAGCTTCACTGATGAGTATCTTGCGTTCAGTCACAAAAATTTTATATAAAATCTTCAATATACTTAATGTCTTTTCTTTCAGATAAATACACGAAAACTAATATCAAAGCCTTTTGTATATAATGACTATTAGATGCTATTTATTTAAGCACCTGTGACATATACAACACAACTAACATTTTCTAAATCACTTTGTTGTTTTGGTTTATGGGACATTCACTTGTAAAATTCTGACCACAACAGGTGCACTGTATGAAATTTAGAAACATAACACATTACCACAGCATTTCAGTATTTATCCTCCTAATCTTTCTCTATGCACATTTTCTAAACCAAAACAGATTCAAACATATCACATTATTTAATAACTTGGTGTTTTTTAGCTAATATGACTATTTTTCTGTGTCCTTATTTATCCTTCTATGGCATGATTTAAAAGAGGCATATTACTGCATAATATGAACTACACTAAAACCTAAGTAATTCTTACTTATTGGATATTGAAATTGTTTACGATTTCTTGCTACTTAAACAACTGTGGGACAAATATCCTTGTAGATAAATTTGTACATTTATTATTTCCTTAAAGCAAACATATAGAAATGGAATTTCTAGGTCAAAGAAATGTATACCCTTCCTATATATCTGTAATAATTACTATAAAGAAATATACTAACGTTTAAATTGTTCCATGGTATGATTCCCTTCAAATACAGCCCTGAGAAATCTTTCGCAATCGTTTTTGAAATGCTGTCCAGAGATTCCCTAAATGTACTCTGCTGTCCTCTGAGATGCTCCAAGTAGATTTAGGAAACTTAACCCCTTAAATATTTACAATGACTATTAATATTTTAAACACTCTTAAGAAATCAAGCAATAAAGAAACTTGATAAATTTAACTTGGGGTTTTCCAAATGTACTTGAATCCATGAGACCCACTTTGTGTAATATACCTAACAACCTAAGGAAATCAATTTGATACAAAATTTGTCATTGTCTGTCATGATCAATTCAAATTTTAGAATTATTCCATCTCTGTTGCATCAGCTTTACCACATATAATTACTTACTAATTTCTAGCTTAATTCCATTGTGGACAGAAAACATAATCGAGTAATTTCAGTCTTTTCTAATTTTCTGCGATTTTTGTTGTTGTTAGTTACGGTAAATGATCCATGTACACCTGAAGAGATTTTAAGTTCTGATGCTGCTGGGTATAGTGTCCATTAGATCCAGGTTGTTAACTGTATTGTTCAGTTCTGTATACACATACTAATTTCATCTGCCTCTTCTTTCAGTTAATGAAAGGTGTTTCAAAATCTCTCACCATGACCATGGATTTGTTTACTTCTTTTCCTTGTTGACTTTTGCTTTATATATTTTGAAGGTCCCTTATTGGATTCATACTTATTCAGGAAGGTAATAGTTTCCTGCTAAAATCAGCTCTTCGTCATTATGAATTGTCCTTCTTTATTTACAATAAATGCTTTGTACCTTAATTGCTTGATGATAATGAAAACAGGTGTATTTTCTTTTTTAAGATTTATTTATTTATTTCAGATAGAGAGTGAGCAAGAAAGTAAGCATGAGTGACAGGGAGAGGATGTCAGACTTTGTACTGAGCGTGGGGCTCGATTCCATGACCCTGAGATCAGTGAAACCAAAAGTTGGATGCTCAACCAACTGCACCATACAGGCGCCCCAAAACCAAGTGATTTTTAGTCAGTTCTTCCACGGTATACTCCCCCCACCTTTTTATGTTAGCCTTTCTGGTCTTCATATTTATCTTTCTTGAAGGTAGTCTACAGTGTTTTATTTATTTATTTATTTTACAGTGTTGTTTTAATAAAGTCTTACATTCTTCAGGCTTTTACTTCATGTATTTTGTCCCATTACATTTCATGTAATTACTGTGATAGCTGTATTTCTATCTACCATACTATTATTTATTTTTGGCTCTGCTCATCTATTTAAAGTTCTTTTTCACTCTTTTCTTGTCCTCCGTATTAAAAAAATATTCCTTACTTATTTCATTTTTTTCCAGCATTTATAACTAAAACTTTGTCTACTAAAAACAACTCAAATAATGTGGCACTAACCTTTAAACAATGTAATGTATCATTTTTTGTGAACATCTTAAATTTAGTTAATTCTCCAATAAAACGAACAGTTTTGTTCTTTGTTTCAATATTGATCTGGTCCTTTTTTCGTACCTACAAATTAAAAGAAAAGAGACATTAACTTAGAGAATTAACATTTTGAAATCTCTGATAAGAAATGTAATTTTAATAAAATTGCATTCACCCCAAATATTTTAAATAAATCTGCATAAATTTCTTGCTATTCAAATTAATTTAAGTTAAGGCAACGTAAGCTCTGTGAAACACGAGTGCTGGGATATGATTTGCAAACAGTTCCATGGTCAAATAATTTTGGGAAATGATACACTTTATTGGGCTTAAATAGGTTCTCAAATAAAGAAGCCTGTTTAACCTAATTTAATTCCTTTATTTAACAACATAAGGCTCCTTTTGAGATGCTAGCAACTACGAGTTAACATCTCACTAATATTATAAGGAACACACTTAACGAAATGCTGCTTTAAAAATAATAAGTACCAAGAGCTTACTTAAGCAAAAAATATTAGCAAGGCTTAGTGTATTATACTAATACATACTGTAGTATGTATTACTACATACTGTAGTACAGTATGCATTTTCTATCATAAATTCATTACAGTGAAATTTTTGATATAATCCCTATTCTTTTTTTATCATCAGTCATGGCTGTATATCAAATTTCAAACCCTTTGCAAATATAAGCCTTCTAACTTGGGCGCATGTTTCAAAAAATATTCAGCATAACAATATCCTATTATAATAGTACAAAGCAAACGTATGTTAAGATAAATGTAAATGGATTACAATTTCATCAGCAAAAAGACTAACAGCAAACAGTCTAAAAATCTTTTATGTGAACAACAGTGACAATAACATGGTGGTGTCTCGAACTAGTTTAATATACTTTTTCAGAATCCTCTACTGTCTTATTCAGTTGTTCAAAATGGTGGTGCTTTGAACCAGTTTAGTGTTTTCTTTTCCAGATTACTATCCTATCTTATTTGTTCCACATAACAACATTCTGAGAAAGGAACAATAGGTTATAATCTGATTTAATAATTTAACAACAAAACAACACAAAGCTCTCGAATGACTTGATGAAAGATCAGTACTAAAATCCCAGTTTCCTATTACTTGAGAATTCCACTACCTTAGTATGTGCTGGGTTTTAAAATAAGGCCTAACCTCACCAGCAGGTAGACGATTAATGACAGTCATTTATATAAATACTAAACTCCTACATACTCAAGGAGCTAACACTTGGATTGAATTTATCATCTTCATTTTTAAGGACCTACTTTCTATAGCAAGCAGAAATAGGTGTTAAGATTTTTTAGCTCTTCAGGGATAATTTTTAAATAAAACTAAGTTTACTCATTTAAAACATCAGAGCAAACTAGAAGCTCACTATAAGCATTTATTAAAGCATCAATAAAACTGCATCGATTAAAAATAAAATCACAGAATTCAACTTATAGAACTTTAACTTTGACTGTTTTAGCAATTCAGAAAAGAGCACAGCTTTCATAAAGATCCTTTCACAAATAAATGTTTAAGTACTACATATGAAAAGATCCTCGGGGCGCCTGGGTGGCTCAGTGGATTAAGCCGCTGCCTTCGGCTCAGGTCATGATCTCAGGGTCCTGGGATCGAGTCCCGCATCGGGCTCTCTGCTCAGCAGGGAGCCTGCTTCTCTCTCTCTCTCTCTCTCTCTCTCTGCCTGCCTCTCTGTCTACTTGTGATCTCTCTCTGTCAAATAAATAAATAAAATCTTTAAAAAAAAAAAAAAGAAAAGCTCCTCATACTGAATTATAATTTTTTCTTTTTCTTTCTTTCTTTTTTTAAGATTTTATTTGACAGACAGAGATCACAAGTGGGCAGAGAGGCAGGCAGGGGTTGGGGGGACAGGTTCCCTGCTGAGCAGAGAGCCCAAAGCAGGATTCGATCCCAGGACCCTGAGATCATGACCCGAGCTGAAGGCTTAACTAGCTTAACCCACTGAGCCACCCAGGCACTGATTTATCTTATTTTATGAACTCTTAGGATACACTAAGAGTATGGATTCTGGACCAGACTTGCTGGGTTTAAATCCCAGCTCTATCATTTACTAGCTGTTACTTAAACTCTGCCTCGATCTCCTCTTCTTTAAAATGGACCTAATAAAAGTAACCTACCTCAAAGTTGTTGTCAACTGATATATGTAAAGCACACACAACAGAGCCTGGCACTAGGAAGAATGCAATAAATATTAGCTACTACTAATTTTATTCATCTCTGTATATTTGTATCACTATTATGTGGACATGAAATAATTGTTTATGGAGTGAACAAATAAATGAAAACGCTTAATGTTTATAGATTATCGCAGGGACAAAAAAGAGCAAATAATCTATAGTCAGAAATCTGAGCCCCTTTCAGTAATTCTACACCATTCTGGGGGTATATAATCTTGGGTAACTCACACAAATTTCCTCAACCACTGGCTCGCCTAGTAAAATATAGATAAAAATAAGTATGGTGATGATGACAGAGGCAGTGGTGGTAATAACGACAGCTATGCTTCACTTGATTTCTAAGCAACTGGTTTACAGAACAAAATACATCCCCTTCAAAATGGTATAAGAGATGTTTTAAATGATGGCAAAATGCTTCTCAGTGAGAAATAAAGAATGGAAAATTATATACTATAAACTCATCACCCCCCCCCCCGCCAGAAAAAACTACGGAGGAAAAAAAGGTAAAGAAAATATACAAAAAGATTAGTAGGTTTGCTTTTGGGGCACCTGGGTGGCTCAGTGGGTTAGAGCCTCTGCCTTCCGCTCAGGTCATGATCCCAGGGTCCTGGGATCTGGCCCCACATCGGGCTCTCCGCTCAGCAGGAAGCCTGCTTCCTCCTCCTCTCTCTCTCTCTCTGCCTACTTGTGATCTCTGTCTGTCAAATAAATAAATAATAATAAAAATCTTAAAATAAAAAAAGAAATAGGGCTGCTTTAAAGTGATGAAATTATGAGGCTTCCCCTCTTCTTTCTAAATTATCTTATATTTTCTAAAGAACCCATGCTGAGCATGTCTTTCTTCTACAGCTGAAGAAACAGGGAAACAAAAAATGTGTAAGGAAGCAACTCAAAAATAATATACTAATGCTGAATCTTGAGGGAGTGGGGCTGAGAAGTATACAAACCTGGTTTTAAAAATCTCTTTGGGTGACTCTGCATGTACAAGCTCTTAGTAACTGCTGTGGAACATTATACAATTTTGGGTATTACGGAGCATTGTAACTTTCAAAACAAGTAACACAGTGTACCATCTACAATTATTCTTAAATATTATTGAGGGTAAGGAGGTACAATCTAAGTAACATGACAAAATTGTAGAATTTTTAAATGAATTATGAAAAATCAATTCTACTTCATTCCCTCATTTTCATATGAAAAAAAAGGCTTTTTAAAAGGCTATAACTTATAAAAAAGACTGACTTATTCTGACTATTTATTATTTTCTAGTCTCATTTGTTGACTCCTTATGATCAAAAAGATATGTCCAAACATTTCTGCGGAAGTAAATAAACTAACAATGTAAAATTTTCTATATATTGCGGCGCCTGGGTGGCTCAGTCGTTAAGTGTCTGCCTTCAGCTCAGGTCACAATCCCAGGGGTCTGGGGATCAAGCCCCACATCAGACTCCCTGCTCAGCAGGAAGCCTGCTTCTCCCTCTCCCATTCCCCCTGCTTATGTTCCCTTTCTCCTCTCTCTCTCTGCATCAAATAAATAAACTTTAAAAAAATCTTTAAAAAAATTTTTCTATATATTTCTAGTTCAATGTCTCTTACAGAATTTTACTCACATAATCAATCTTATGTAGCAAAAATGTTGCTTACAACTCATTTATTAATGACAGCTAAAACTGAGATCAACTGAATAACTAAATTCCTAAGCATTAATAAAAACTCTTTGGATACATCAACATATAAAAATTAAGGCTTTCCGAGGCCTATCTAGGAAGACCCTCCTCCTCAAACTGGTCCTTCTATAACTTCACCCAAATAGACATGATACATTGTCCTCTATAATTTGATCATTTTGTTCTACATAAACTTTATTCATTTAATCATTCTAATTTTTTGGAAAATCTACTATACACTAGACACTAAGAAGGCACTAAGTCTATAAACAAGTAAACTTGCCTTCAAAGTTTATTTTGTGCTGTGGACCACTGATCTCCAGGGTAAGGTAGGTAAGACTCTTGATTTACTAGAGTGTCGGAAAAAAACGTCTAGGAATTTCTATTTATGTTTTGATCTCACACTTTTCAATTTACTTTTATTTTATGAATTTACATAAAATATTTCATACAACTGCAAATATATACAATTTATATATAAGTATGCCAAACTGGGATATGTGGTCAATTTACTTTACCACTAGAGAGATTTGATTTAAAAAGCTGAAAGACTGGGGCGCCTGGGTGGCTCAGTGGGTTAAAGCTGCTGTCTTCGGCTCAGGTCATGATCCCAGGATCCTGGGATCGAGCCCCGAGCCCCGCATCGGGCTCTCTGCTCAGCAGGGAGCCTGCTTCCCTTCCTCTCTCTCTGCCTGCCTCTCTGCCTACTTGTGATCTCTGTCTGTCAAATAAATAAATAAAATTAAAAAAAAAAAAAAAGCTGAAAGACTGCTAATTTTTAAAATGTCAGTCAGGGGCACCTGGGTGGCTCAGTGGGTTAAGTCTCTGCCTTCGGCTCAGGTCATGATCTCAGGATCCTGGGATCAAGTCCCGCATTGGGCTCTCTGCTCCGCAAGGAGCCTGCTTCCTCCTCTTTCTCTCTCTGCCTGCCTCTCTGCCTACTTGTGATCTCTGTCAAATAAATAAATAAAACCTTTTTAAAAAAAAGGTCAGTCTGATATGCTTATATTTAAATAAAAGCTGTCCCTTAGCTGTAAAGTAGGCTCTGCTGAAAATTTGGAGAGCATGGAAAATTAGAAAGGAAAAAAATATTTCTTATTGCCCCACTATTCAAAGACAGCCACTGCTAACATATCGATATGTAATTTTTTTCTTTCTTTACGTTCCAAGCATTTTAACATAACTATACATTTATTCTGTGTAAGAGTTTACAGCTTGCTTTTTTTCCCCACCAAAAGAAGCACTTTTCTGTTACGAAAATTTTTTAGTATTACTTTCGATGGCTCTATATCATTTCAGCACTGCGACTACCTGACCGTTTTCTTAATTCACTGTTGGGCTTCTAGCTTACTTTCCATTTTTTCCCCACAATTCATGATGTGAATAAAGCTTTTTTGGGTATACAGGATTACTTACTTAGGACAGATTCTCAAAGTTGTCCAATGTATAAATGCCTGTAAGAATCCTGAAACCTATTACCTAATTCCTCCTCCAAATTCTGACCTCAGGTGCATGTAGTTTTTCATTTCTATTATCTTTACTAATCTGTTGGTCAAATTAGTAGATTAATTGTTGTTTTAACTAGAATTTCTTTGACTACTAGATGAGATTTCATATAGTTCTGTTAACCAGTTTTATTTCTCAGGTGAGATTCTTAAGCAAAGGGTATGATTGTGATAATATGCTGGAATTAGAGGACAGAGAAAGGGAAGCCTAAGTAAAACACTATTCTCATAATTCAAGCTATGAAGAGGAGATGCTAGATTTGGAGGAGTTTTTGGAAGATAGTACCAACAGAATTTGGTGAAGGCTGGCTCCAGAATGTCCAAGGAGCAAAAGTAGAAGTCCTTCTCTTAGGGACTAGAGAAAAAATATTGCAAATTTACAGACAGAATAAAAGGTGATATGAGGAAGTGAAAGCTGAAGATTTTTTTTGAGAATTCATGAGTTTATTTTGTAAACATATTTACCTAGAACTACATGAGAACTTTCTAAGCACCAAGAGAGAGGTTCAGGCAAGAGACATGTATTTGAGTTTGCTGAGAAATAAAAGTCAACTAAAGCCCAGGTAAAATGTGTTCTGTCAAAAAGGAGGGTGAAGAAGGAGGTCTGGGGAATGTAAAAATACAGACTCAGCTGGAAAAAAGGAGAAGATTTTTATTCTTGATAAAAGATATTGAGAAAAGCAGTCAAGTAAGAACCACAAGAGTGTGGTGGGAGAGAAGGGATCATTATTATTGTAATAATATCTATCTCTGAGCACTGCGTGATGAACTTTATATCCATTATCTTGTGTAATACATAAGAACAATCCCATCTGAAAAGATACCAGTATTATCCCCACTTAATGACTCGACCAGCATTAACAATGCTAGCAAGTGGGGCAGACAGAAGGGCAGAAAAAAAGAACAGTCCAGCAGTTTAGAATCTGTAGGGACATCAACTAACTTAAAGTAACTAAGAGGATGCTGGTGGTCTCTGCCAGGGTGCTATGATGAAACAAAGGGTAAGTGTCAGAAGCAGAAGAGACAAGTATACTCTAAAACAACTCGAACAAGAAGCAAATGAAAGAGAGTAGGGGGTGAGGTTGAAGACATTTTCTTGTTGCTATTATTTTAGTTTCACTTAAGGATGGGAAACTTTAGGCACATATAGAGACAAAAAGCAAGTTGCTGGCAAAGTCTGCAGATGTCAGGGTTAGAAAAGATAGATCCTGGAGGAGGCAGAAGTGATCAAGTTATTTGATCAAGTGACTTCAAGTTACTCTTCTCTCCCCTGAAAGCAGTGGTTCCCACAGTATTCTCCTAGAATTCTGCTAAGTCTCTGAGTTGTAACAAAGCATTACATCAGGAATGAAACTTCCAAGTCCCGCAACTCTCACCTCAATTATCAATTTCAATTATCAATTTCGGTGGGAAGTGAAAGATACATGAATAGAATATTCTTAATCTTAAATTTCTCACCAAAAGCATTAATTATGCTTGGTCCAGCATGTATGTTATTTTTGGATTTGGTTGAGGGGTATATGTGTGACTCATATAATAGAGTCATACTGTCTGCCAGGAAAAGTTTCTTGTTTTGCATAATGCGATTAAATAAATCAAAAAGAATATCATAATTCTTGATGCATCAATCCCTGAACTGGCAGCATTTATCAAAGTGTGTTCTTTGACCCCTTCCAAGAGATTCAAAGTGCACATTACCCTATTAAAGCTTTGGGAATTCTTAAGAGAACAAAACAAAATCATTTAACTCTCTTGATCTCAAGTGTTTCCAAACAGCCTTTAAAACAACATAAACCGGTCCTTGCTTAATACTACGTATGAAAATCCAGAACACACTTCAGCAAAAACTGCCCCAGAAAAATCTTAACCACAAATCTCATATAAACTAACTCCTATGGCAAGAGGCCTTTAGAAGTCATCCCACTCTTCACTGAAGACTTTTTCCTTCTCTGAACTCAAGGTTCTTACTCCTGAACAATTCGTTTGGCAATTAAACATGCAATTTCTTATAATATCGAATATATTCAGGGTTTAAATGTTTATTTCACTCTCATTTTTGTATTTATGCCTTTTCTTCACAACTAGGTTGTGAGATCCCTGTTCTCAGGAATTACTTCTGTTCTCTGAGCACTCAGCAATACCAATTTCTGTACAATGAGTGCAATAAAGTGCGTACTGGGCACAGCAAACATTTATGTGCATCACAAGCAACTTGCTATAAAGCTAAGTTTGTCGGGACGCCTGGGTGGCTCAGTTGGTTGGACGACTGCCTTCGGCTCAGGTCATGATCCTGGAGTCCCGGGATCGAGTCCCACATCGGGCTCCCAGCTCCACGGGGAGTCTGCTTCTCTCTCTGACCTTCTCCTCGCTCATGCTCTCTCTCACTATCTCTCTCTCAAATAAAGAAATAAAATCTTTAAAAAAAAAAAAAGCTAAGTTTGTCAATTTTTTCCCATTGGCTAATATAACCACTTGAATTTCATGCGTTTTCAGTCTACAATATTCACTTTCAGTCATGTTTAAGGAACCATTTTACTTCTTTCAAGGCTTTATTTATATCCCTTACAAGGCGATGGGTAGTATGGATTTGGAGAACAGCTAACAGGCAATTTAAGACTCCTAGAACCAGAAAGGGAGAGAAGCTGTCTGGAAACTGGTCCCTGGTACTTACCAGGATACTCTTTAAGAACTTACCGCTATAGCAGATAAAGATTGTTAAGGCAAGAATCAATAAAAACATGGACTATCACACCATTCACTGCTCAGATAAATTATACAACCTCGTGTACCCCAGACATTTGGACTCCTGACACCCCAACGGGCATCCCCCAGGCACTGTGCCCTGACTTGCACAGCCAATCCTATGTTTCTTCTGGGAACACCAATGAGACCTGCTGGCTCTCTTGACCTTAGAGAATGGTTTTTAATTTACAAAAGCAAAAAAGTGCAGTACCTGTAGGAAACAAGGTAGCAGCAACAGCTCATCTCCAAACTGGAATATACTACTTATCAATTTCAAGCTTTGTTGAGAAAATTACATTTTAAAATCTCAGAAGCCCATTAATTCTGAACTCTTAACCACTATCAAATTTCAGAAATATGCTTACCAATACAAAATTATATTCTTAAAGAATCCTCACTCAACTTATAAGTATATAAATATGTGTGTATACATATATAACAAAATAAATGCTTAAATACATACATGAAATCTGAAATCCCCCCTCAGCATGGAACAAAGATCCTCTGCTACATCAGACATGCAGGGATGCAATGTAGCAACCAATCTTGCATAAAATGGTAGCAAATCCAACCTGCAAAAGTTATATGTGATATATGTAAAAGGAAAGACATACCAGAAGTAATTAATCTTAAAATTTAAACTTTCTCAGATATATTCACACATTAATTGATAAAAACTAGTAATCGTACAGACGTGCCTATTTATTGCCATCATAATGAAGCCTATGGAAATTCAACCTGCTTTGTGAAAGCTTACTAATAATCTGGCATTTGCTATTCAGTGCATTTACTGCACATATGCAATTTCACTAAGTATACAATTTTGGTAATATATGAAATACCAAGTGCAGAAAACATCAAGTTTTGACATGGCCTGAATTTTTGATCACAAAATTACTAAGTAAACAAACCTAATGGTAACTTAAATAGTGCAAAACAGAATCCTTTTAAACTATTTCCTTCTTTTATTCACAGGTAAGTTATTTGCAAACTTTAATGTCTGAAGTGAAAGGGTAACCAATAACCAAGATGGCATCTAAGAAGTCAAAATATTATCCAAAACCCACACACTAACTTCTGCATCTTATTCATTACAGAAGCTACTCAGATTCACCCACAGTGCCTATCCTCTCTTAATTTAGACAATAACTGGCAAATATGTGGTTATTCATGCTGCCACCCCCTTTCATTATTAGAGCACTTTCTCATCAAGCCTGAACACAGCCCCAGAGTCCTGCTTAACACAGCACTCCAGGCAGCCACTACTAATCAGAATGAATACACAAGCTAAAATTACTTTCCATTCCTGCCACAGCCATTATTTTATAGAATTCGATTACCAGATGATGCAATACTCAGCAGACGCTGCAGATCAGCAGCAGTGAGGAATTAACAAAAGCAGCTGCGGTGACCGCATCAAGTCATAGGGAACTAACAGTGAGAAAGGAAGTTAAAAATTATAAAAATTCAACACAAAAGCTCAAAAAACTAAGCAGCCCACAGCCATGGAGAACAGAAACACAAAAATCCTACATTTATCCCTGAATACATCACTACAGAATAGTGATGAAAACAGTTTCATCATCAGAGGAAAAAGTATGCACACCATGCAAGGCTTAGGATTAGATCTGGAAAACTCAAAGTATGGACAGATTAAGGCTCAGGTGGAAGAAGAAACACAGCAAAGAAAGAAAGAATGGAGGTTAATCTGAAAGGTGGAGAGAAGTGCTCAAATTCATACCTGAGAGCCTAAAAACCTTTGCATTCCTCTTCGACCATTATAATTTCTTTTAAAAATTATCATTTAGTTCGTTCTTACGTGCCAGGCTCTATCCTAGGCACCTAATAATATACTTCATTGAACTTGTTGATACTAAAAACCATCCCATAAGGTGGATATTTTAACTACCATTTCAGAAATAAGGGAACAGATGCTGAGAGAAGTCAGGAAAATAGCTTTGTATTAGTGACTCAGTAAATTTTGTTAAAGGCATCACACCTTTCTTTACTGAAACAATGAGAAGTTCAATCCATTATATAAAGGTCTAATGCAAAATATTTAATGTTAAATGTTACTTTAAATGTTTCTTTGAATTATTTAAGAAGTTTTATCAACTGAAGGTTAAGCTCCTGTCATACAGAAAATACGCACATGTGGGGCACATTACTCCTTTATATTATAAAAATGAAGTGTTCCCATGATATATTCTCATAAATAAATAGCAATTTTCTTCATGTCTATTAGCATAAAAAGCAAGCCTAGGACAAATGACCTTCAACTTTCTTGCATAACAGATGGATTCACACTAATAGCAAATTTACTTTATAAATTTTTAAACTTTGGTCGGAATATTGTATTTTAATATAATTGCAATACTTTTTAGTTAGAATATATTATCTGGTTTTTCACTTGTTTTTCAAACCCACTTGAGCAACAAATACTTTTTTGTTTCAGTTCATAACCAATCGCCAAATACAAGTAAACTACTTATACCTGTGCCTAGGTTCTACCACCCACAATTGCCACAATTTCCAATCAGAAAAATGAAGAATACATTAAATAAATACAAGAGCTGAGGTCATAAGACAACAAAGAGGAATGTGCTCCGAGTTAGGAGACTCAGGTTCTAACTCTCTCAAATAGTACTTCTGTAACCTCTAGTCTCAGCTGCCCTGGCTAACCCTCCCATGGCTGGGAAGCTCACCTCAGAACCTCCGCACTGGCTCTTTTTTCAGCTGGAAGATGCTTTTCTCTTTCTCCAAGTATCTACACTTACACCCTAACAAAGGCCAAATCTTATTTGGCTAATAATTCACCTCCTCAATGAGACTTCTTCCAAATACTCCCCGGAAACCACAAATCCACCGGGCCCCATGCCCACAATCCTCTACCCAGCACTATTTTTTTAAAGTAACATTTTCACCTTCTAACATATTATATAATCTACTTACTTGTTATGTTTATTATCTTGTCACCTTTCCCCACCAGAACATAAGTTAACTCTAGGGAAACAGTTAACTAGTACTCAACACAGTGCCAACAACACAGTGGGTGCTCAGTAAACATTTGTTAGATAAATAAATGTTACTGGTATCTCACAATTAGGTTTATTTATTAATTATTTTCTTTTTTTAAGCAGACTCCACGCCCAGCGCAGAGATCAATGCAGGGCTCGAACTTACAACTTCTGAGATTGAGAAATGAGCTGAGACCAAGAGTTGGACACTTAACCAACTGAGCCACCCAGGCTCCCCCAGGTTTACTGTTAGCTTTTAGTCAAAAATACTCTTCACCACTCTGAGGAAGGATCATCTGATTTTTATAAAAATAATATTAAACTTCATCAAGTTTTACATTTTATCAAAGCTAGCTTATCAAATATTTTATGTACTTAATAGGATAATCATATATTTTCTTATTTTATATATAGGTTTCCTATTTAAAATATCTTTTAAATCATAAGATTAATCCTCTGATCCTGTTGGATTTTTATTTATTATACTATTAAATATGATTTGCTAGTTTTTTACTTGGAATTTTTATATGGACATTCAAAAGTGAGACTGGCCAATCCTTCAAACTCCCTTGCTCTTTGTTACATTCTGCTTATTCATAGTAGGAAATGGCAAGTTTGCTTTTCTATGCTCTAAAACAAACAACACAGCAGAAAAATCACTTTTCCATAAAAGACTGAAAGAACTCAAAAAAACTATCCAGTCTTACTCTATTTAAGATGAAATTAACTGATAACTTCACTGGTCTACTTTATCTTGAAATAATTTGGAAATATATATTTTCCCCCAAAATTTCAGTTTCGCTGTGATTCTTTCAAGTGCTTTTAAAAATATTTCTAGCATATCATCGGGCTCATTTCTTAAACTTTTAAATGTTCTTTTTGTTTAAATTTTCTAAATGCTTCCCTATTTGGATTTTAAGAAATAGCTCTTGAGTTTTTTTAATTAATTTTAATTTTGGTTGTCTTTCTCAATGTATTTTTCAATACAATTTAAAATCATATCCACTTAGCACAAAAATTTTAACCTAACTGTATCATTTCCTTTTTCTTCTTTTCCTTGACAAGTCACTTATACTTTATTTCATTATTTTCTTCTCTACAAAATCAACCCAATCTATATCAAACCCAATCTATATCAACTAAATCTATATTTTCCTAGTCCCAAAAGAAAGGTAGAGATAGTTAACCTTTCTAGAGGAAACCAGTCTGTGCTATCCATTCAGGTTCTTATCAGTGAACTAACAAACAGGTAAGTGCTTTCAGCTTCCAAAGCGATTTTAAAAAATAGTTTAAGGATTCCCTGGAAGATCTTAACTCTTTTATACCATTCCAGATAGTTAGAAATCCTGGGTTTTGTTCTGGCCACATGAAAGTGAAGTTAGATATTCTATTTTCTCGGAATCCTTTACTCATATAAAGCTCACCAAGTTCTTCCCAAACTAACACTTTTCTAAAATTCCTCTTTTGGGGCTCCTGGGTGGCTCAGTTATTAAATGTCTGCCTTCAGCTCAGGTCACAATCCCAGGTCCTGGGATGGAGTCCCACATCAGGCTTCCTGCTCAGCAGGAGGCCTGCTTCTCCCTCTCCCCCCTGCTTGTGTTCTCTCTCTCTCTCTCTCTCTCTCTCTCTCTCTGTGTGTGTGTGTGTGTGTGTGTGTGTGTGTGTGTCAAATAAATAAATAAATAAATAAAATACATAAATAAATTTTCTTTTCCATTATACCTGTCACAATTAAAAGGATGGCTGAAAGTAAATGCCACCCTGCCCTATTTAAATCTTCAATTTCTTGACTGCTCATCTATTACTTCGCAAAATAAAACCCCTTACGTTGTAAATAAGGTAATAAATTATATATTTCTTCAATGTTAATCCAGCTTAAGTATGCTTTTCTGTCTGTTCCACCCCTCTATGCATGCAAGGCTGCAAGGGAATGGAGTGTTAAATGCTATGCCAACCACATTAAAGGTATTAACCACAAAATAAAACATTTTAATGAAACTAAAGAGTAAAATTTATATTAAAATTTAAGCTAGGTATGTATTTTTAGACTTTTCTGCAAGTCAACTAGAAAATAAACTTAGATCCTCCCTCTGAAAACAATTTTTGTCTTCAGAGTGAGGATTATTTTTACCAACAGTTAATGAGTGAACCGTTTGAAAAAGAACATTTTTTTCTTAAACAATAAAACCTTGCTTACATTTTAAGGTCTCTTAAATCACACATTTAAGTATCTTACTAGCAGTTAATGATCATCAAGTTAGTAAACATCGAGTCATTAACTACAAGTAATAAAGAATGCAGAAACACATTTTGTTACTGAGGGGAAAGAAAAGAAATTCTTAAAGGTTTTTATGTCATAATCAAAAAGAAATGTCCAGCTTTTTTTTTTTTCTCTTTAAAATGTAAAGAATTTAAGTGTTGGAAGGTATTAATTTTACCTTGTTCAAAAATGCCTAGAAAAAGGAGGAATGTGAAAGAATACTGCCACCATTCAATTAAAAGAATACAAAGGATTTTCTTCATTGAAACAATGAAGCAGATGATTAAAACATATG